AGTTGGTGCCGTTATCACTATAGACGTCAGATGGTTGTCCACGTCGACTCACGAATCTACTGAAAGCACAAAGGAAGGATTCTGCATCCAGGGAATGGTCGATTTCAATGTGTACTGCCATCATCGTCAGGCAGGTAAACAAACACCCGTATCGTTTCACCTTGGCCCGACCTTGGCTGACTATAAATGGACCGAAGTAATCCACTCCCACGAAGGTGAACGGCGGATTCAGTGGAGTGATTCTTGGTTCAGGAAGAGGAGCATGCATTATCTGCTCTCCGGGTTTTGCATTTCGTTTTTGACAATCGATACAACCTTTGATAACTCGTCGCACCTCGGTAGGACCATGGATAATCCAAAATGTCTGACGGATGGTTGCTAACAACGGACGATTGTTTAAGGTTATATCTCAATTCAACTAGAATCGTTCGGAGCTCTTCAAATGTTAACGAAGTTTTCTCAATAGCTTTCCATGAAGGTTAAAAGCCAAGGGAGAGGTTTTTATTAAACTGCGAAGACCGAGGGCCCGAGGTCTTTACAGTTTAATAAAAACCGATATCCGCGGCTTTTAACTTGTTTATATACTCATCAGACCATATTCTTTTGTATTTTGGAGGTTTTCTTCATTAAACGTTCAAGCTATATCAATTCAATGAGAGGTCGTTGCAAGTTTGAAATAAGGTGTAACATGCGCATTAATACGCTTTAAAATGTGGTTAAGCATGCGCAGTATATCATTTCACGTCCCACAAGCGAAAGAGCAGATATTACTGTATAAATTCCCTGCACAAGCAAGTTTTATGGTTGATCCAGCTAGTCCTCGTGCGCCGATGCAAATTTCGAAACCGTCGACGGTCGAGCACATCATTGATGGTCGAACACATCATTAATCCCGTTCCCAGATTGCTTTTGAGGTGATTAGCGCGTGGAACCATTTGGTGACACCTTAAACCAATCGATGCCAGTAAAGATTTTACGCAGTATGATAGTATAAGGTTTCAGATTTTTGAAAAGATGGCATGCAAAGCAGCCAATTCGGTTATTATTCATTCTACAAAAGAGTTCAGAAATTAGTTATAAACAGATTTTTCACATTAAGTGTGGGCTTAGTTGTTGCCGATAAAACTGGCTTATACTTATATTGTGTAAACGGCTAAACAACTGCTGTAACTTGGTCAAAAAAGCGTTATAATATGTTTCGTGCGTCAATTTTTTATATTCATCAAGTAACCTACCGTATTTTTAACGTACGAAGTCACGAGAACGAAGAAACGAATTTTAAGCCAAACTAAATATAATGACACAATCGGAGACGTGCTCGCCAGTAACACGATACGCTAAGATTTGTTACTAAATGCCCTGTCACACTATTGCGTATCGTACTAGCGTATGCCAGCGCATGAAAAATATCACTTATACGCCGGTATATACGCTTTTCACACGTTTCTCTCATACGCAATAGTGTGACAGGGCCTTAAAGAAAGCTTGATATGTTTTCTATTGCTCAATATACATATGAGTGCACGTGGTTCAAGGAAAAATGGAACCGCACAGCTAATACTATAACTAACATTTCACTTTTACTTGAACCACTCGACATATATCATATTTCAATTTTAGCATTAGCCGTGGACTTATCAAAAGTGCAAGGTTTATAGATATGTTATTATTATAGATAGACATTATGTTAAAGCTAACTGTAAATAGCATGTATAATATTGTTGCTAATGTTGGTATTTTCCACGTCACTCTGTTGTATCTAGTTTTGAGATGGTTCTCTATATTTCACTTCACAAGAGTTTTAATTAGTGAAGACACTTAGATACTTCAAAGTTAAGATAATCAAGTAAATTTTAGAAGATAGTTACTGCAACACTTGTGCGAAGAGCAGTAACCAGTAAACCGAATTGGCTGCTTTGCTTTTCGACTGCTACCCGCTATCTTTTCAAAAAATGTGAAATTTCCAGTCACTGACATCGTCTTGGTACAAGATGTCACCGAATGGTTTGTACGCGCTAATTACCGCTGGCGCGATTTGGGAACGAGATTAATGATGTGTTCGACCATCAATGATGTGCTCGACCGTCGACGGTTTCGAAATTTGCTGCGCCGAATGGCCCGAATTATATATATTCTACATTTAAATAATGGACGGAGGAAGAATTGGTGCAGAAGAACGAGGATGGATATAGAAGTTTGTGAGGAACAAGGAAGAGTTGGTGATGAAGTAAGGAACCAGGTTGGAATCCGTAGGTGTTACGCTGGATATCTCCGGCGTAAAATGTTATTGCTATTTTACGCCATCGGCGGGCGTGCGGAGCCAATGAATGATCACCTGATCATCGGCGGGGCGTAAAACGCCGTAAAATTCGTAAACTACGACGATTGAAGAATTTTCTGATAAAAATAATAATACCAAATTATTTATATCGCCAGTTGGTCATTATGTTTGGCATGATGTTGATTTTTTTTAATACTGATCGACGATATGACGAAATAGAAATGATTTTGAATTCTGAAACTTGTATGAAAAAAGTGGAAACACAGAATCCCAGATTTCATACCATGTGCTGTTTATATATTCATCAATATTCATCGTGCGTCAAGGTAACTGAAATAAGTTGTTTTTTTGTTTACTCTGGGTAATAATACACCTTCTTTTAGGTAATCTGAGTCATCTACGTAGTTATATTTTCAATTTTTGTGTTCCGACTATTCATTTAAACTAGTTTTGCACCAAAATTTATATACTTTATTGGCGCCTTTATTAAAATTACCTTTTATTGTTTTAATTTCATAGAATATAGATTTTTATACAAAAGATCATTAAAATATAGGCAATATAAATGCAGAATTTGTAAATTGACATGTCATGCAATATCTCCATGCTGCATTACTGTTGTGCATGAGGAAGAGGGTTTTGGAAAAAGTGTTATTTGTCAGAAATGTTCTGGAGGTTAATCTGATAATGGGTAAAAGATCTAATTAATGCCTATGATAAATAAATAGCTTAAACCAGTACAATTTAACTTAATTTAATTTAACTTGGTTTGTCACACACCTATATAACATACAAATAAAGAGAATTTTGACTGGATAGAGAAAAGGAAAAATCCCAATTGATTTATTGATAACTGCACCCTTTATAACAGTATTAACAGATGCCCTAGTCAGGTCAACCCATACCCCTTTGTCTAATATTAATAGCCCTCTTTAAGACAGTCTCATCTAATAAATAGTGCCCCCTTTTAACTCTAAGAAATTAAGAATTTGATTAAGTTTGTCATTTTTAAATAATATAATGTATATTCAGCCTTAGCACGCACTGATGACACATTTGATGTCGTAATTTGGGATCCTCCACATTGGATTGATCCGGCCATGAGGATGTCAAAGATGGAAAAATCAGTGAGGATGCTTTTTCATATCTCAACAGAATTATCAAGAGAACAATGAAGCTCCACACGAAGTTTAACCGTGGAAAAATGTTTCAACAAGTTAAGTCCGTTGCCAACCATAATGGCTACGGTAAAAATGTTAAATTTAAAGTTCTGTCCCGTACGTGTGGAACCAGGTTTAGTACGTCGCAGTACAGTGAGTTCCTCAAACTCTCTGAGAGCCTTCTTTTGTATATCGATACATTCAGAAAGTATGGCTACGATGAGGATGACGAGTACGAAATCACAGGAAAAGACTTTGTGGTGGATCTTCTTGCTTTGACAGATCTTCTGTGTCCAATGGTCGACTTACTAGTCAGTCTTCAAGGTTTGTCCGTCCCATCGTGGAAAATCTGCCTTTGGTGGTCAAAAGTCAGACAACGTATCCAGAAATGTATTCCAATTTCATTTGATTCTCCTGACCTTCCATTGACATCAAATAATATAAGAGATATCAAGAAAGGGAAATTTAAGGGAACAAAAGTTGTACCTGGATGGCTCAAAGTTGAGAAGAATGTCTTTGAAGAAGTGTCTGATGAGAAGAAAACTACAACAACTAAATGGCGTGCTCGAGATCTTAAGGTCTGCCGAGTGGACTTGGAGGTTTTTCGTGTCGCAATGATTAAGTCAATGGATCTTCGATTTTCTGGTAAATCTGTTAAACGTATGCAGAAGCAAATTGTAGCAGTTGACCTTGACGAGCTAATTTCATTGTGTTGCGGTCACAAAAATCTAACTGCCGTTGTCGTTGATGAGGTAAAGTTTGAAAACTATGGAAAGCAAGAATTCCTGTTCTTCTGGACCTATATTTGCAGTCTTCCTCACATCAAGAATTTATATGGATTGTTCAAAGGGGAACTTAGTCACATTGTGCACCCCAACGTCAAACAAGCTCTTAAATCGATTATTTGGGAGAAAAGGTACCGCGATATCACGAAGCAATGGTTCAATGTTCTCCCTGATAATGATGGGCAAAATGATGGGATTGCTAATGAATCCCTTTGTGATTTTTCCATTCTTGATGATACGGAAGCTCGCGCTTTTCTTGAACTTGGTGTAAATTGTCTCCTATCGTCTATAGAATGGAGTTCCAAAACGGTAATTATTCGTGTTGATTAACTATAATAGCTTTTTGAATATATGTGAATATATTTTTTATTTATTCCTTGTTCAGGAAAGATAGCTTTGACTGTGGTTAACGAAGACAAAGTGTATGAGACCATATACATAAATGAAACGGTCTATTCACTTATTGGGCCTGAGGGATGCATTGCTGTGGACATTTCTCTTGGTAAGGGAGGCACCGTGAGGCTGTAGTGGAAAGTGTGTATTCCGCTATGGGATCGCAGAATCAATTGGGCCCAATTTCGAATGAAACCTTAACATTGAGGTACAGTTAGACTTTATTCACAATACAAACTTAGCTTGTAAGATAAAGCATTTGTAAAACATGTGTAAGATTATTAACTTACTTACTGCGTGATTATTAAACTAATAAACTTCAAAACAGCTACTTAACATCCAAAAACATCCAATTTTTGAAGGACAAAAATTAACTGGTGCATGCCATCCGCATTGACGCCCGAGCGAGCAGTGAAGGAAATTGCTAACATATACATCAAAAGCGACAAAGAAAAGGGGCTAAAGGCCCACATTTTGCCTGTTATTCAGAGCGCCGTTCGTGGAAATCGGTGAGTCAATATTGTATATACTTATAATAATAAAAATGCTGATGTTCTTCACAAGTATTTTAAATTTATATATGTATTGAATTTAACACTTTTGCAGGTATCGTACCACAGCAAAGTTATTGACAGCAAGATCACCCCCAAGACTGTCAGATTGCCTTTCCTGCTATAAAAAACTATAAATATAAATAATTTCAGTTTTATTCAACAGAATAATACGGATTGTGATAAAAGAGTTTGTGTCTTGTGATAATTGTTAATTGATATTAGCCATTTCCCAATCGAGCAGAGGACTGGGTCTAGTGGCTTGTTTGGTTTGTTTGAAGTTTTCCTACATTCCTAAAGTTATTTATTGCAGCCCTGAAACGCAACAATTATGATAAGGCATCTTTTAATATAATATTTAGCTCGCTCACTATAACTTGTTGACATGTTGTCCCTCCAAACGTCCCTTCAAACATCAACTAGACTCAGTCCTCTGCCCGATTGGGAAATGGCTAATTGTTGATGTTGTTCTAATTTTGGTTGTTAGTGGTTAGTCATTGAAGAAATTTATAGACAGTTTCCATGCTTATTAATTCTGATAGTGGTGCGTACCGTAATATACACATAGCCTCTACTTCATATACTCTTGAAGTTTGTATAAAAATGAATATAATTCAAGAGGTATAAGATCGAAGTAAAGACCGTGTTTGCGCAATGCTGCTGTAGTTAATGCTTTGTACAATACATCTCGATTGTAATATTTTAAGGTCTTGAGCTTTTTGGATATTTATTTGAAATGGTACTCTTCATACTGACTGGTCCGGTGATATTTTGCGGCGATTATAAAAATCGAAAATATTTCCGAATGTGGCGTAATTAGTCGGTGTCCACTTGGCGTAACCTCCGGCGTAAAATATTGACGGATTCCATACTGGGTAAGGAAGGTTGGGACCTGCTTAAAGAAGACTGGCAAATTATTATTTTTCAGTTGAACTGATGGCTGAGTCTATGCGCCAGGCATTAATACCGTAAACCTCCGACTATAAGCCCTGGGCTTACATACTTTCGTAAGTATGTCGACTGTCAAACCTCCCTTCCAGACCAATTGCTACAAACCCTAACGAAATAGCTGACTTCTTCAATACCTACTTCGCCTCCGTATTTACATCCGAAAACCTCCCTGTTCTGAACATCCTAACAGGACAGATCCAGTTTTAACTGAACTCAAAGTAACTGAGTTAGAGGTAGAAACTTTACTTAACTCCCTTGATACTAACAAAGCAACCGGATCGGACGAAATCCCAGCGAGACTTCTAAAAGAAACCGCCTCAATAATCACTCCCTCCATCTGCAAACTATTCAACAAATCATTGCAACAAGGAACGGTGCCACAAGATTGGAAACTAGCGAACGTTGTTCCCGTTTATAAGAAAGGTGACAAAGAATATACAGAGAATTACAGGCCAATTTCTCTCCTGCCAATTATTTCGAAAGTTCTAGAACGGTACATTTTCATGAACATTCGACAACACTTTTCTGGGATAATTTATGATCACCAGCACGGATTCCTCCAAGGAAAATCTTGTGTGACTAATTTGTTAGAAGCATTAGATTACATCGGCGCAGCAAATTTCGAAACCGTCGACGGTCGAGCACATCATTGATGGTCGAACACATCATTAATCTCGTTCCCAAATCGCGCCAGCGGTAATTAGCGCGTACAAACCATTCGGTGACATCTTGTACCAAGACGATGTCAGTGACTGGAAATTTCACATTTTTTGAAAAGATAGCGGGTAGCAGTCGAGAAGCAAAGCAGCCAATTCGGTTTACTGGTTACTGCTCTTCGCACAAGTGTTGCAGTAACTATCTTCTAAAATTTACTTGATTATCTTAACTTTGAAGTATCTAAGTGTCTTCACTAATTAAAACTCTTGTGAAGTGAAATATAGAGAACCATCTCAAAACTAGATACAACAGAGTGACGTGGAAAATACCAACATTAGCAACAATATTATACATGCTATTTACAGTTAGCTTTAACATAATGTCTATCTATAATAATAACATATCTATAAACCTTGCACTTTTGATAAGTCCACGGCTAATGCTAAAATTGAAATATGATATATGTCGAGTGGTTCAAGTAAAAGTGAAATGTTAGTTATAGTATTAGCTGTGCGGTTCCATTTTTCCTTGAACCACGTGCACTCATATGTATATTGAGCAATAGAAAACATATCAAGCTTTCTTTAAGGCCCTGTCACACTATTGCGTATGAGAGAAACGTGTGAGAAGCGTATATACCGGCGTATAAGTGATATTTTTCATGCGCTGGCATACGCTAGTACGATACGCAATAGTGTGACAGGGCATTTAGTAACAAATCTTAGCGTATCGTGTTACTGGCGAGCACGTCTCCGATTGTGTCATTATATTTAGTTTGGCTTAAAATTCGTTTCTTCGTTCTCGTGACTTCGTACGTTAAAAATACGGTAGGTTACTTGATGAATATAAAAAATTGACGCACGAAACATATTATAACGCTTTTTTGACCAAGTTACAGCAGTTGTTTAGCCGTTTACACAATATAAGTATAAGCCAGTTTTATCGGCAACAACTAAGCCCACACTTAATGTGAAAAATCTGTTTATAACTAATTTCTGAACTCTTTTGTAGAATGAATAATAACCGAATTGGCTGCTTTGCATGCCATCTTTTCAAAAATCTGAAACCTTATACTATCATACTGCGTAAAATCTTTACTGGCATCGATTGGTTTAAGGTGTCACCAAATGGTTCCACGCGCTAATCACCTCAAAAGCAATCTGGGAACGGGATTAATGATGTGTTCGACCATCAATGATGTGCTCGACCGTCGACGGTTTCGAAATTTGCATCGGCGCCTGTCTGGACAAGGGAGGGCAGGTAGATATGGTATACCTTGACATGTCAAAAGCGTTTGACCGAATCAACCATAAGCGATTGACGCAGAAATTAGCAAATTCGGGTATTGGCGGTAACCTACTAAAATGGTTTCAATCGTACTTGACTGACCGTCGTCAACGTGTTACTGTACTTGGTGTAACATCGAAGTCTCTACCAGTTTGTTCAGGCGTTCCACAGGGGTCAATACTCGGTCCTGCACTGTTTCTTCTTTACGTGAATGACCTACTCGAAGCACCCACGTCCAGTCGAGCTGCAATGTTTGCCGACGACACCAAGATATTCTCCGCAATTCAATCACAGAACGATGTTACCTCTCTACAAACTGATCTTGGAACCCTGGAACATTGGTCAACGGTATCTGGGCTATCATTCAACCAATCCAAGTGCAAACATCAAACGCTAACGCGGAAAAAAGCACCAGTTGCTTCCTCGTACAAGTTGGACAACTCAATCATATCCATTACTGACAACGAAAGAGACCTTGGCGTGTGGCTGTCATCAGATTTAACGTGGAAAAAACATGTGAACGAGCAGACAGCGAAAGCGAATAAGATTCTGGGATATGTTAGAAGGAACACATTGTTTATTCAAAATACTGCAGCCAGACGAGCGTTATACCTGGCATTGGTTAGGTCGCACTTTGGCTACGCAACCAGGGGCGTAGGAAGCACCTGGAGTTTGGGGGGGCACCGGCTTGTAGGGGCACATTACTATCGGAAAGGGCACCTAAAAAAATTTTCCCGGAAATGTTGTCGACCTTGCTTAGGGAATCTCACTTTGCTGTGTCGTTTGTCCTAACCAAGCAGACTAAACATGGAACTACATGCTTGGCGCTTCCATCCAGGCCTTTTGTCATCGATCTTACGGTTCACGTTGACATATCACCGAATCCAGGACCAGATGCTCAGTGCAAATCAGAATACGGCAAATCAGATGACAAACTTTTGTCTTGTGCAACAGCAGCGGCATTACGCTCGATACGATGTTCGCGAACAGATTTACTATATCTACTACGTTTTCAAGAAGTTTCGAACAGTTTCAGATGAGTGGTATGAATTTAGGAAAGGGACAAAGAAATCCTACAAGGCATCACCAGAAAATTACTAGCCACTCGGTTTTGAATACTAATGAGCATTGGACAAATGGGCAACAATACTCCATTCAAACAAGGATAACAACACAGTCACGAAACCAACGTCAAAAAACAATAATTTAACCGAATCCACCTTTTTTAGTGAATTCTCTACTTTACTTGAAGAACTTGTACCTTATTCTGGTAGTGGTAGTGTCCTTATCGCAGGAGACTTCAATTTCCATGTTAATGACTCAAGTAATGCATCTGCGAAGAAGTTCCTCAATTTATTGACATCATTTGACTACAGAAACCACGTACTTACTGCTACTCACAAAAAAGGCCACACACTGGATCTATTACTAACACGATCTGACGACAAATTTGTATCAAACATAGATGTCATTGACCCTGAAATCTCTGACCACTCGGCGGTGAACTGCAAACTTTTGCTTGCTAAACCACCTTCCGTAAGGAAACAAGTGAGTTTCAGAAACACAAAAGCGATTAATTTCGATTTGTTTCGTACCGACATAAAAAATTCTAGTCTGCTTAAAACACCCAATACATCTACGCTTGCCGAATCTTATCGAACCGTACTTTCTACATTGCTGGATACCTATGCACCTGTTAAAACCAAGACAGTAACACTACGTCCTGCTACTCCTTGGTATACACCTGAGATTCAAGAACAGAAAATTAGAAAGAGGCGCTTGGAACGTCGATGGAGAACTACCAAGCTTACAGTGGATAGAGAGGTGTACACCCAACAATGTATTGTTGTAAATAGGACTATCTCTGCAGCAAAAACCAACTACTACAAAGACATGATAAACGACTGTGGCTCGGACCAAGGAGAACTTTTCAAGAAAATAGATAGGATGTTTAAAATGCCAGTAGAAGGGAAATACCCATCATGTGCTTCATCTGAACAGCTTGCAAATAACTTTGCAGATTTTTTCGACAACAAGATAGATTCCATCAAAAAGGATTTGTCCACAAAATCTGCAAATCTATTATGTTCTCATATCATGGACACAACTTTATTATCAAAAGACACCAAACTTGAATCATTTGCGCCTACAACGACGGAGGATTTGCTTGTGCTCACACGAAAACTGGTTAAAAAATCATGCATACTTGACCCAATCCCAGCGAAGGTACTAATGGAATGTTATACTGATTTATTACCGGTTATCACTAAAATAACTAATATTTCACTGGAAACAGCCACTGTGCCAAACAATTTAAAATGTGCTGCTCTTGATCCAAGACTTAAGAAAGATAGTCTAAGCACTGACGAATTTTCAAGTTTCCGGCCTATTTCAAACCTTAAATTTGTATCAAAATGCATAGAGAAAGTGGTAGCAACTCAGTTGGATCAACATATCACAAGTAATAATTTGGACGAACCCATGCAATCTGCGTTCAAGAAACACCATAGTACCGAGACGGCATTAATAAAGGTCCAAAATGACATTCTACAAGCCATTGATAATCAAAATTCCGTGATTTTATTGCTGCTTGACATTTCTGCCGCCTTCGATACGATTGATCACGAAATATTATTGTCCAGGCTATCCTCTAGATATGGAATCACTGGAAAGGCTCATAAGTGGTTTGAATCATATCTTAATGAAAGAACATTTACGGTGCATGTCTCGGGTGGTCAATCCACTAAACGCACTCTAGGATCTGGTGTTCCACAAGGTAGTATTTTGGGGCCAATGCTTTTTTCACTGTATATAGCACCAATTGGAGACCTTATGAGATCATTGGGCATCGACTTCCATCTTTATGCCGATGACACGCAATTATATGTTACTTTCAAATCAAATAATCCAGACGATCTGATAGTTGCAAAAACGAAGATCGAAGAGTGTGTCCGTGAATTAGATGAATGGTTGACCATGAATAAGCTAAAGTTGAACAGTGACAAGACAGAGATACTGGTGTTTTCTGCTCGCCATCGTCCAAGTCCATCTTTGTCTTATATAAATGTTTGTGATGATGTCATTGGCCTCTCTACCAAGGCGAGAAATATTGGGATTATAATGGACTCAAATGTTACTATGGAATCACAAGTATCAACCATTTGCAAATCTGGATTTTATTATTTAAGGAAAATCAGTAAAGTACGAAAATATCTCAGCCTTAAATCTGCAGAGATTTTAGTACATGCTCTGGTTACATCCCGACTTGATTTTGGAAATGCATTGTTACACGGACTATCGAACACTGCTCTTGAGCGAATCCAGAAAGTTCAGAATGCAGCAGCACGAATTGTCACATTAACGAGGAAAAGAGATCACATAACACCAGTGCTATTCAATCTACATTGGCTGCCGATCAAGGAAAGGATTCAATATAAGATACTATTGATCACTTTTAAGGCTTATCTGGACAAGCACCAGGATACATTTCTGACCTGTTGGAAGTTTATGTGCCTAGGCGAAATTTAAGATCATCATCAGATAGGAAATTAGTAGTTCCAAATTATAACTTGGAAACCTATGGTAGACGTTCCTTTAGGGTATCTGCACCAATATTGTGGAATAATCTGCCTCAGAATGTAAGACTATGTGAATCTATAGGATCTTTTAAATCAGAATTGAAAACACATTTGTTCCGAATTGTATATAAGGATTTTATTTAGAGTAATTTTAACTATTTTTAGAACGATTTTTATAGTCTATTTTACAAAACTTTAAATTAAGCAATTGTTGTATAAATATTGTAAGTTGTAAATTGTAAAGCGCATCTGGACATTTATGGAAGATGCGCTATATAAAAAACTAATTATTATTATTATTATTATTATTATTATTAAATATCGTTCTCTGCTATATTAAAAGACAATGTCAATGTTGAATAACGTAGTGGGCTACTGGGCTTATATTCGGGAAACTTATATTTGGGGGGCTTATATTCGAGTGGGCTTATATTCGGGGAGGGGGGGGCTTATATTTGGAATGATGTAAGCGTTAGTATATGTGGTGGGCTTATATTCGGGGGGTGGCTTAAATTCGGGGGGGGGGCTTATAGTCGGAGGTTTACGGTATCACAGTCGTTTAGAAAGAAGATCCTCCCTCCTCAATACAGATTACAAGATTATTACGAAAGTTCTGGTAAATCGTGTTAAACCTGTTATGCCCACGATAATTCACCCGGATCAATGCTGTTCTGTCCCTGGGCGTTCAAGTGAAGATAATGCGACTCTCCTATACGTGACGTATGTGACTATCTGGAAGTTAATGAACGAATGGCCTGCGCCTTTATATCGATCGATCAAGAAAAAGCGTTTGATTATGTTGACTGGGACTTTTTAGACAGAATTTTAGGAGCTATGAACTTTGGTCCACAATTTCGATCCTACATTAAAAGTATTTATCATGACATTCGGAGTGCTATAATATCGAATGGTTATGTTTCAGAGTTTTTTCACGTACAACAAGGTGTTCGACAAGGGTGCCCGCTATACCATGCCCACTATAAGACCAGTATATTGCGGTTTTTTGTCTTATTACTCGTAATTGCGTAATAAGGATACAAGTTGCACCGGCAGGTTGGACAGGTAAAAACGATGAAAAGTTTATCATAATTGCAAAATTTATGCAATGCGTATGTTATACTCCTGGCGAATTATGCACACATAAGCAAAGCAACAAGGTAATAGGGTAATAAGGTAATAAGCATGCAGGGGAATAAGCACATATAAGCAAGCAATAAGGTAACAAGGTAATAAGCATGCCGGGGAGTAAGCACACAAAAGCAAGCAATAAGATAACAAGGTTATTAGGTAATAAGCATGCAGTGTTCTCGTAACTAGAACCGTCGTGATTAATCATCGAATAAAACAAATGAATTTTTAAGATTTAATATATAAAGAAAACTATAAAATGTTTTATGTATTTTCTACATGTTTTTCTTGTCACCATGACAACCGTCCTCTCTCGCCAGTCTTTTTGCTCGGTCAAATTTATATTACGTCATAACTTTAAGTTAATATATTCAGAAACATGCAGGGGAATAAGCACACATAAGCAAGCAATAAGGTAATAGGGTAATAAGGTAATAAGCATGCAGGGGAATAAGCACACATAAGCAAGCAATAAGGTAACAGGGTAATAAGGTAATAAGCATGCAAGGGAATAAGTATAGGTTATTTTGAGGCAACGAGGGGATATGTGATTTATTCACCGAGGCGCGCAGCGCCGGGTTGAATAAACACATATCCCCGAGGTGCCTCAAAATAACGTACTTATTTTTCACACTGCGAGGTCGCATTAATGAGTCAAAAAAGAAATAATTCTTAATGACATATTGCTTTCGCGATGTTGTTTTTTCTCATTTTTTGTGCTGCAAAGACATTGCAGGTGAATATTAGAGGGGATTATTAATTGCAGGTGAATATTAGAGGGGATTATTAAACGGAAATTGATTAGAGGGGAATATTGAATATATTCCCCGACAAGAACAAAGGAAACCGAGCAGGGTGAAAAATAAGCACACACAAGCAAAGCAATAAGGTAATTTGTTATATAGCTGGTGCCCCAGGAATTTCGCCTCCCCCCCCCCCCTACAATGGGGCGAAATTCCTAGGAAATTTCCCCTTTAGAAACGTCACCTTTCCTTTAGGATTTTCTTCCTCCTTTAAAAATTTCGCCCTACTTAGCAGTTGCATGGGATAATTATTACATGGCTTTAGTCGTTTGAAATCAGTATCAATTCAAAATTGTTAAGTCAAGAATACAAATTTACAATTACATGTATCGAAAGGGCATATTACAGTAGATCAATAGGACTTATGACTCTTCACAGCACACCATGCATATTTTGCATTTTCAGTGTTAATCATTAAACTCATTGTTAAAAAGTAATCACCGTGGTGGTTTTGTAATTATTGGTATTGTCAAAACTTGTTTTTTTTTAACTGACACATGCATAAACTATACTTTTTTTTATAATCAAACCGTTTAATTTCATTATAAAGAGCACTTTTGCAGTATTCACAAGTTATTCACAAGTTATTCACAAGTTATTCACAAGGTATTTGGTGCTATCAGCTATAAATTTACTATCGTGTTTACAGAAGAATGCGTTTAGTTTCATTGTTATTATTAAAGTAGTCATGCAGTAACATGTTTACGTGGAAGAACCATATAAACTCAGTTTTGAAAAATATAATTAAAGCGGCATATGGTAAAACGCGGACTGGACTGGTAAAACGCGGACTGGACTAGTAAAACGCAGACTGGACTAAGATTAGTAAAACGCGGACTGGACTCTATTAGTAAAACGCGGACTGGACTCTATTAGTAAAACGCGGAATGCCGGACTAGGACCCCAAATTCACGCCAAAATTTGACCAAAATGGGACAAAATGGCAGCGAGCTTTAAAATCCCAACAAGTGTGAAAGGAAAGGCAAAAAAGGATCCGGGGTTGCCAAAGTTTGATTGGAAACCTTTCGAAAAAGAAAAGAGTTTGAGTTGCGGTACGTTGGGGTCCGTATACCTAGGAAAATACAAAGGAAAACCAGAAAAAGTGGTTACTAAAAAGATAATGTCTAATCGATTGACTCGAAATCCCGTTTCGTGGAAGAAACCGCACTGTTGAACAGTGCAAATGGCCACAGGAACATAATCCGGTTCCCTTGAATTCAGTAATGATGCATGGAGCTATTCTTGCTTCGATTTTTGTCCGTTTGGAGTTGCAAAAAGCCTTTGCACACTAGAAGATTTTGTCCATTTTGTAGACGATGAGTTTGACTTTGCCTCCTTCGCAGACTTGTTGCCAACATGTGCCAAAGATGTTGTCGAAGGTTTGAAATATTTCCACAGCAAGAATATCGCTGGCACCAGGATCTGAAACCAGGAAACATATTAGTTTTAAATCGGCACTACAGCAGCACATCCCTTTAATGAAGATGAGTTTGCCGAAGCTTATGGTGAATACCCTGTTGTTTGTAAACTGCCGCTGCATGCATGACTTTGGCTTAAGTCGGTCTCTCGACTTACAAACCAAGTCATTTTTTATGTTAATGAAATCACCGTTTTGGCTTCTCCGAACTTTTCTCACCTTGCATTTTTTGGCTTGCATTCTTTGGCATAATGTGTGTCATATATCATATACTTGAAAAAAGCATGCACTGAATGAAAATTAATTAGTGCAAAGAGATTATCTTAATTCATAATATTTATTAAATTATAACGATATTCTTGCTGTGCAAATATTTCAAACCTTCGAAGGAGGCAATGTCAAAGTCAAACTCGTCGTCTACGAAATGGACAAAATCTTCTAGAGTGCAAAGGCTTTTTGCAACTCCAAACGGGCAAAAATCGAAGCAAGAATAGTTCCATGCATCATTACTGAGTGGTTCTTTACAAAATTCAAGGAACCGGATTATGTTCCTGTGGCCTTTTTCACTGTTCAACAGTGCGGCTTCTTTCACGAAACGGGATGTCGAGTCAACGGACATTATTCTTTTGGTAACCACATTTTCTGGTTTTCCTTTGTATTTTCCTAGGTATACGGACCCAAACATACCGCAACCCAATTTCTTTTCTTTTTCGAAAGGTTTCCACTCAAACTTTGGCTACTCTGGTTCCTTTTTTGCCTTTCTTTTCAGACATGTTGGGATTTTAAAACTCGCTGCTATTTTGTCCCATTTTGGTCAAATATGGGCGCAAAATTGTGATCCTAGTCCGCGTTTTACTAATAGAGTCCATTGAACATTTATTTAAACAGGGTAAAATCTTCAGTGTATGTATAGGTACTATTTACATGCATCTACTTGACTAATTTTAATACTAAATACTATATATAAAAACACACTGATTTCCAAGATTGCCGTCTGGGAATCCCATTGTGGTGGCGACAAAAATCGATTGATTTCATTTTTGAAATGCCTTAATCGCTTTCTCCCAAATCTCCCAGAAGTGTATCAGAGACTAGAGCTGAGAACATCAGTTAAATGAAGCCAGGGGCATGTTTCCAAAGAACGGCTTCGAAATCTTTTTCGGATTCTGAACATAAGGCGACATAAAAAAAATTACTTGTTTAGCGTCCCCGCCCGACCTGATAAAAGTCCCCGACCTCCAATTTATTTTTTTTTAAATCCATCCGAGTTTAGTGCAAAAACTCTCTATAAAAAAGACCGTACTTGAAAAAAATGGTGATTCTATTCTTCTGGGAGCTGTGTAATACGTTTACACAAAGTTTCCTTCCCAGAATATGCCTGTTCGCAGCTAAAGTGTTCGCGCGTGACCGCCAAACGGTAATTTTCTGTTTTATTAAAAACATGAACTGTATTAAAAAACATGAACGGGTTTTGAAAGAATTAAAGTGAGTTTTGACTGTGGTAATATACTGGATTTCCTGCATTTAGCAGAATTCTGTGTTGCATTTTACGAAGAAAAAACCCCCCAAAAAACCCCCCAAAAAACCCGCCCGCCCGACCTAGAACTGAATTAAAATGGGTGGACGCTAAACAAGTAATTTTTTTTATGTGGCCTAACGTAGGGCGTCTTGCTTCTACTAATGTTACGTTATCTTACGTAAACTCGCAGATTTTCTTCATATAAATGGCATTATGAAGAAAATCTGCGATTATGGTGCGGTGCCGATCGCATATAGTCTTAAATTTACCGCAAATTCAGCATGACCTGCCTGACTATATCGTGCAGGAACGTGCTTGATTGCAATAGACCTTTCCCCTTATAATCAAAATTTTGATCTAGGCAAGTCTAGACAAATATTTCATCACAGCTCGAAAGAGCATCACAAAATTAGTAATATTCCAAAGTTTCGTTGCGAAATGTTGTAAAATGAGGAAAATAGAGCCTTGCGGAGTTTGCAATTTTCAGTCATTTTGCATTACAAACGGGAAATTGCAGTCCCAACACCCGAATCGTATGTCAATTTCCCGTTTGTAATACAAAATGACTGAAAAACGGCAAACTTCGCAAGGCTATATTATCCGCATTTTACAAGATTTTGCAACAAAACTTTGGAATATTCCTAATTTTGTGATGCTCTTTCAAGCTGTGATGAAATTTTTGTCTAGATCGAAATTTTAGTTATAAGGGGAAAGGTCCATTGCTAGCGTCATTAATCCTTTTGTCGTTAGCTTAGTTGATAGTATAAATATCATGGGTTCCTCAACAATCTCGAGTTTCTTCGAGCAATTGAGACAAACGTAGATTTTTGGCACTTCCAAAATTTGCGATGTTGTTGATATTTTCCCTCGCCTCGGCCTTTGATGCCAACCGGGCAAGGAATGATTCTCGCGAAAACATGTCCGAACCACGTCGTCGCTTCTACATTTCTTTTAAAATTATATTTCAACCTGTGCTTTGCCTTTGAACTCATCAAATCGAAAGATGTGCATTAAGTGTGATCGGAATACATCACTAACACTATCCAATTTCGGTCCAAAATATTCTTACAGGCAGTGTCATATTACTCATCGCAGTGGATTATGATATCGCCATAAGGCCCGATCAATTCTTTCTTCAGAATAATATCGCAGTAATGGTAATGGCATCATAAACAACATCTTATTATTAATCGCCGAGATTGCGCGCTTGGTCGATTCATAATCAAGACAGGCAAAAATTTCACGTCTATCTGAAACTAGTTGATAGCGAAGATTAAGAATTATACAATATGCGGGCTTGGGCGCACGAATTCATATATACTATACTCAACATTATTAAAGTAAATTTTATAGCAGGTGCAGGTATAAGTACAGCACATCATTGACACGAATGCTTATTAATAGTTATAACTTTCATACGTCCATAGATCATACCTATATTCCGAATGCTTAGTATTATATTAACCTTTGTATATAGGATCGTCCATATGTTTACTCTCAGACCTATTTCCAGTGGTCTATATTCTTGTTTTAATCCATATCTTGGATTTCTCACGTAGATTGATATGTTTTCAGACTTTGTTTTGTACTATTCCATTGCTTAATACCCTATTACCTTAATTGGTCACTTTGCCTACATAGCTAGTATCAATGCTTATTACCCTTTTACGCGTAATAAGAGCAAAACTGCATAACTAACGGTCTTAAAACAGGCATCATTTGGTGCCCGCTATCTCCATTGTTGTTTGTCATGGTAGCAGAAGTGTTTGGACAAGCGATTCGAAAGTGCCCAGAAATACAGGGATTGCGTGTGCCTGGAGGGACGGAAGTGAAAATATCACAATATGCTGATGACAACACCTGTATTGTTACTAATTCATATGGTGTTGTTAAAGTCATTGATGTCTTTAATGAATATGGTCGAGCATCCGGAGCGAGGCTTAATACAACGAAATCAAAGGGTCTTTGGCTCGGTAGGTGGCGTTCTGTACTGATTCACCCTGTGGTCTAACGTGGGTTAACACGAGTCTAAAAATTGTTGGTATTTACTTTGGTTCCGAAAATGCAAAGATCCAACCATGGGAAGAGGTCACGGCCAAATTCAAGGGAATATTGAAGAAATGGGAACCACGGTATCTGACGTTACGAGGGAAAATGACGGTGATCGGGAGTTTGGTGGCTTCGACGCTTTGGCATGTGGTGAAGATATACCCACTAACGCGTGAATGTATTGACTCGCTACAATCGGAAATTTGGAAATTCGTTTGGTCAAAGAAACCGGAGTGGATGCGTCGGAAAACGTGTATGTCAGACTATTTGAATGGGGGTCTGCGAATTATTAATCTTGACATCAAAAGCAAAGCATTGTTGATTGGTCGTGTCTTCCGATTTCTTGAAGAGAATGAGGCACCTTGGAAAGATTTCATGCGTTATTACATCGGACGGGCTTTAGGCATAAACGATAACTCGAGACCAAATAGTGACATTCCAACTCCGTTTTATAGTCATCTTCGTGTTCTGAGAGAATTTGCTGTTGATTTGGACGTATTGAAGATTGCGTTACCCCGGTACAAGCAAGAAGCGAGTTGGCTTGGAATCAAAGATTTGGTCCTGGTTTAATCTGGAAAGAGATTTCGAAGGATGTCGCTCGAAGTTTTAACGATCCACTGTTACGTGATTTTGATTGGCGCACGGTACATCGGGTTTTACCTGTCAATTTCAGAGCGCATAAATGGTATTCACGAATATCCCCAGCATGTGCACGGTGTGGTGAAATTATAGAGTGGAAATTAACGTTAGAACACACGTTGATTCACTGTCCAGGAGGGAGATGTGGATGTTCATATTGAAATTGTGCAATCGAATTGATGCATCGGTCTTTGGTCTTTCAGAACGGAATATGTTGTTGGGTTGTTTCCCGCGAACAAGAACACGAGACCTTCTGCGTTACTTAATCAGTGTTGGAAAATTTTCCGCGTGGAAAGAACGAGTGTCACATCAGTTCAGAAAGGACGCGAAAATTAACAGTCTTGTGTATTTTAAGAATTACGTGCGAAATCGATTGGAAACAGAACAGTGTATCATGGACACGGAAAACTTTGAGTCTAAATGGTATTTAAACAACGTTTTAGCATGTGTTATAAATGGTATAATACGAACTTTGATCTTGATCCAGAGGTTTCACGTAATCTATTGTAAATTGTGTGTAAAATATTTTTGATTCCCCTTGATATACGTACTATGTGGGGTTTTTAATAAAAATACTCTTACCTAATGGTAGAGTTTTGACGGGCTCTGAGGTACACGGCTGTTGTCTCTTTCTCGACTTAGAGACGTGCAGCGTTTTCTAGTCGTAAAGGAGATGTGGGTCTTGAGTTTTCCTGCAAATTCAAGTCCCGAATTCAAGACTCATGCCAGGTCTTGAATTGAAAATGTAAAACCGGGTAACCGGTTATTACTTTTTCCTAATAACCTGGTACCCGGTTATTACCGATTATTACTAAAAAGTAATAACCGGGTACCAAGTTATTACGAAAAAGTAATAACCTGATACCCGGTCTTTATTCTTCCGTAATAACCACAGTAATAACCTTCAACCCCGCATTTTCCCCGGAGAAATCAAATACCACCGCCTGCTTTTGGATTGATCGAAGGTTATTACGGAGAAGTTAAAAACCGACGAAATACAAAAGAATATGGTCTGATGAGTTTGTAAATATAATCAAAGCACCGTTTTGTGCTTTTAGTTAATCGTTCTCAATCAAATGTGCCAAGGTGCTTTTTTGGTAATGAAGTCCCACGGGTTAGGTGGAAAACGCGGACATGCGGACACGCGGACATGCGGACATGCGGACACGCAAGTCAAGTGGAAAACGCGGACACGCAAGTCAAGTGGAAAACGCGGACACGCGGACATGCGGACACGCAAGTCAAGTGGAAAACGCGGACATGCGGACACGAAATTTATTAAACTTCAAAAAATCTATTACGACATTAATAATTAATAATTTTTCGCGTGATATTGAAAGTTATCAATGCCAAGGTTGTGTTTTTCTCTCTCTTTTCTCTGTCTTAGTTTGTAAGCTCGTTTAGTGTATTTCGCTTCTTTTTTTAGTTACAAAAACAAATCTCGCCATGGGCCATGGCTTTATATGTTCTTCATGTAAAGAAGCTCGTTTTCTGCTGGCAGAATTGATGTCATATTTACATTCAGAAAGCTATATCTGCAGGTGTGATGTCATAATTACACAATCAAAACGGAGATTGTATAGGAAATAATGACTGAAGATTGATAATGGATTGTTGCGCGAACTTTTACTGTTTTCATGTATTTTACTTACAGTATTGAAGATTCTGAAAAATCCACTCAGAATCTTTACAAAATACAAAACAACGGCAATTCAGAAAACGTTTTCATATATTCAAGTTTCAACTACCTATGTTTTAATTGTCATCACGAATGATACTAGGTTATATTTTATAAGTGAGGAATCACAGAGTAATTTGATATACATACACATACCTATATATTATCAGGTCTTTTGATGCTTTCAGTTCCCTGCTTCAAGGTTAAGTTCTCCGTGCAAAATTAACCTCTCAATACAGTCAAGGCATTTCAAAACTAATTCATTGTTTTAACTCTCGTGACAAAACTCATTGTTTTACTAGTGCCCAGGATCCTGGCCTGTGCTATAGTCTCATTTATTTTTTTATTTCTTTAGACTCTAGCCCTAAAGCCAAAGCATTATTTTATTATTTTTGAATTGCTCGAAAACGGCTAATTATGCCGACTATCCTCGTAAGCAACCGTTTACACGACCAATTTGTATGTGACAATTTTTCATATCTTTATGTGAGAAATGTATTTGGTCGTGTAGATGAGACAACAATTAAATAATTGTTGATGCACTTGATCAGTTCCTGTTTAAAAAATATCTATGAACAGCGCAATAAAACATGGCGCGGACACTAATTATACTTTTACAAATATGGCGGGAGAAAAAATATGACATTTTATGTGACAAGTAATCTACACAAGCAATTTTTCGTATGTGACAACTTTTATTTGTCATATAAAAGCTAACACGCTAGCTTTTCAGCAACTGTATTTGCCAATTGCCACACAAAAATTGCCCAATTTTCCTCGTCTACACGAGCAAATAAAAATTGTCACATCAAAATTGCTCGTGTAAACGGGGCTTAAGTGTCTATTATGCTTCTGAAGCCCTATTATGCTCGAAATTATGCCGGCATAATTTACCCAAGCCTAGCCTAAGTTGAATGCACTTAATTAAACAAATGAGTTAACTTTCGGTGCTATAAATATAACTCAAGTTATAATAAGTATTTAAGTTTTGTCGCTCTCCAATATCCCTCGCTTCAAGTGACAAAAAATTCGTTTTGATATAGATATATTTCTTGACCTTCGGCATATTTTGACCAACGACCTTTAGCCAAGCTCATTAATTAATCACCTATTGTGAGGAAGGATTAAAAAGGATTAAAGGACGTGTGAAGTGTCAAAATGAACGGGCATTCTATACAGGGTGTATAAAAAAACGCAACCTCGGAACTTCCCAAGAAATCGACATGGTTTTAAATACAAAATATTTTAGGCGCCTTGGAATTTAAAATAGCACAACAGTCAAAATGCGTGTGCACGCGAGTGCATAAAGCAGAATTTATGCATTTATTTGATGCACAACAACAGTAAACTAATATGATCTATTAGCAATTCGATTTCAATTCCCAGGGGCTTAAAATCTTTTATGCTTAAGAATTGCAAAGTGATTTCTTAGGAAATTCCGAGGTTGCGTTTTTTTTTATACACCCTGTATCATAATAATGATCCCGACGAATAAATAGTTGCAAAACTATACCTGCGCGTGCGATCAACTGTACCCCAGGTGTTGATCAGCAATCACAAGTTAGTCATGATCAGCTACAATTTTGCACTGAGAACTTAACCTTGAAGCAGGGAAGTAAAGCATCAAAAGACCTGATAATATATACGTATGTGTATGTATAGCAAATTACTCTGTGATTCCTCATTTATAAAATATAACCTAGTATCATTCGTGATGACAATTAAAACATATGTAGTTGAAACTTGAATATATGAAAACGTTTTCTGAATTGCCGTTGTTTTGTATTTTGTAAAGATTCTGAGTGGATTTTTCAGAATCTTCAATACTGTAAGTAAAATACATGAAAACAGTAAAAGTTCGCGCAACAATCCATTATCAATCTTCAGTCATTATTTCCTATACAATCTCCGTTTTGATTGTGTAATTATGACATCACACCTGCAGATATAGCTTTCTGAATGTAAATATGACATCAATTCTGCCAGCAGAAAACGAGCTTCTTTACATGCAGAACATATAAAGCCATGGCCCATGGCGAGATTTGTTTTTGTAACTAAAAAAAGAAGCGAAATACACTAAACGAGCTTACAAACTAAGACAGAGAAAAGAGAGAGAAAAACACAACCTCGGCATTGATAACTTTCAATATCACGCGAAAAATTATTAATTATTGTCGTAATAGATTTTTTGAAGTTTAGTAAATTTCGTGTCCGCATGTCCGCGTTTTCCACTTGACTTGCGTGTCCGCATGTCCGCGTTTTCCACTTGACTTGCGTGTCCGCATGTCCGCGTTTTCCACTTGACTTGCGTGTCCGCATGTCCGCGTGTCCGCATGTCCGCGTTTTCCACCTAACCAGTCCCACGTGACATTTTGGTTCGCCAGATAATGTTGAACACTTTCTGAGCGAGATATTGCAATTATACTTCCTTGGCGGCGGCCTTTAAAATCTTTGCGTTATCAGATATGATCTTATTTGGCATTCCTTTTCGGCTTGCAAAGCGGCGAAATTGTTGAGTTCGTTGTAGTTATTATTATTATATGGCTTTGCAGAATCCTGGATTCTGATTGGTCGACGTGCGGTCCGTAAAATGTGTATCCGGACCGGTTTTCCGTATGTCAATTTGCAAGCTCGAACTTGAAACGTTTTTACACGTTTATAAGGTCCTTAGTGTGAAGAAAAAGTGTCCTTGGATCATTTTTAAGAATAAGAAGTCTAGGAAATTTTAATAAGTACTTGTACCAACACAAATTTCATCGAAAAAGCCATAAGAAAAAAAGCCGTTTGAACTCTTACTGGCAACCGTAAGTTTTTGCGGGAAAATTTTTTGATTGTTTTATACTTGTTTCAAAAAATAAATAAAGATGAATTTAGCGTCTTTCATACCATATTCTAAACAAATATCATATAAACTGGGTTTATAAAAATTTTTTCTGGGGGTGGGGGTTATCCCGGCCGAAAAAGTAGTTCTAAAGCGATTGTTAAACATTCATGCTTTTCCATAAACAATATTCGGTGACGAAACCAAATCTATTATGAAGAAAACTAGCAAATACTGAAAACATAGCTCAAAAATACCTTCATAGCGCTCAAACAAATATATGAAAATCAGAAAATGTGTTTCAGGAGCCATATAATAAATGGTTTATTAACCTCGTTTTGCTCGGTCTGTACGGGAAAGTATTTGCCTTCGGTTTATCCGCACAGACCTCGTTCCTTCGTCGCTCGGTCTGTACGAAAACCTCAGGCAAATACTTTCCCGTACAGACCTCGCTCTCGGTTAATAACGCTTTATTATTATTTATTATATAAAGTATAGACTATAGTGCTTTATAGAGATGTCGAGCACTGATAAAAGTGATAATCTCACATGTGAGATTATTTATGATAATCTCACATGTGAAAATTATCGCTTTTCAAAGACTGTCCTTTATATAATAAACAGAAAAATACATGGGTGCTTGGAAATACCAGATTTATTTCTCGTAATGAACATGATATCTCACTCGTTCGCTGCGCTCACTCTGGTATTTCTGCGCACCATGTATTATTCTCTATATAATTATCATTCTTTACTACAAGAGATACACACTCTGTGGAAGTATACAAGAACTAACTTTTAATTTACATCAAGTGCGTTTATGTTACAATGTGCTAAATTACAATGTCTTAATCATATCATTGCAGGTTAACTGAACTAAAATTACAACTAATTACAATTTTATTTCATTATTATTATAATATGAAGTATTATGAGCGTAACTTAGCAGAAATGGCGATTGCAAAAACACGTCAGTAGATAGATTTCTGAACATCTCCAAATCCAAATGAACACCTCTTGTTCGTCGCTAACTCGGCTACTGGGCAACGGTGGTTCTTTCGGGGGGTTGCAAACGACTTTCCTTCAATCTTATACAAAGTATGCACCTCGTAGTATCCAAAATCGTTCTCTGATACAATTAAATTTAAGTGTTTCTTAAGAATTAGGTCATTATATTCGTTTCGGTTGGCATCTTCGTGTTTTTGAGTCGTCCCTGACAGCGAATTAACTTGTTGTTATCCAAAAATAAATTCAGTTCTTTGATTAACTGGCTGGCTTCTTGATGTTGAGTGTTCAAACGTTGAATTTTCCTCTGGAAATGCGCTGTCGATTGGACACTCTTTATCCATAGGTTTTCGGCTTCTTTCAGGTTTTCTGCATGCGTTCAGATGAATTTGTTCCATTGCATTCTCTCGACGTTTCATTCTCAGTAGCATAGCCAGCCCGACTATTTGGTCCCGCTATGCAAATATTTTCATGTTCATTGACTGTGAAAACAATCAATTTCTAAAGAAATGAATGATAATAATTTTGAATTTGCATAGCGGGACTAAATTGTCGGGCTGGCTACGCCACTGTTCATTCTACGCACACTATAGAACCAATGCTGTGACTCTTAATAGCTTTATCTTGGAGCTACAGAGGTCACAGTCCATTTAATATGGCTACGAGGTTGACGTTGGAAAACGATCGAACCGTCGTTGTTGTTGTTGAGATGTGGCGCAGCTAGAGTATGTGTCAAGATTATACAATTTTGAACATGTTACATCTAATCCATATGAGTGGGTTAGCTGAGAAATACGTACAGATAGTTAAACGAATATTCGAGAAAGCTAGATTAGATAACCGTGATCCATTGCTTGGTATACTTGAGTACCGACATAGGGTATTCCAACCTCGTTCCCAGGGCTTATTCACCAGCCGAGTTATTACAAGGTAGGTCATTACCATCATTATACCATGCAACGCTTTCAAAACAGCTAGAACCTACAATCAAGAGCAAAAATTATTGAGACAACCGCATCACCCACCCCCAATTCAATGTTGTCATGTGAATGACTGAAAAGAGAAAATTCACCCCTACCCAGTTTTACCAACATTGATCAGGGGGGAGGCTGACATACTTTAAAATGGACAAAAACGTGAAACGTCTCATTATTTTTGCATGCGATAGCAGATTCATTGACCATTCTAAGGTAAAACTTAAACTTAAGGAGGCTCCCTACATTTTGCAATATATGTCAGTGTTACTAAAAGCTATTTGAATCTAAAAAAAAAATTTTTTGCATAAGCCATTGTTTCCTCTTATACAGGGTGTCCCCCAAAAAAGTACCCTTTACAGAAATTTATCCTATTGTTGTTAAGCACAGGATTTTATGCGACTGGTAATTAAAAATTCAATTCAATTGTGTTTACGCACTCTTGTGTTCAAAATAGTGCTCAGGCATTCAAATTATAACAACAGGATAATTTCTATACAGGGTACTTTTTTGGGGACACCCTGTATAAAAGAGTAATTTTAACCCACAATCGCTACTCTTGACGTTATCATGACCACATGACGTCACCATTTATAAGGCCTATATCAGCCAAAACTGAGCCGTCTTAGAGGACAAATAATCACGGTGAGCTACCTTTTTTATTGCAGAAAATACATTTAATAGTTTTGTTTGTGGAAACACCACGTAAATTTACTACTGCAAAGCTTTCGATCCGTAAGGCGTAAGCCCGGATCTTCATCAGTGGTAATAATATGCACTGGTGAAGATCCGAGCCTACCGGATCGAAAGCTTTGCAGTTATAAATTTACTTGGTGTTTCCACAAATAAAACTATTAGAAAATACATTGTTATAAAGTTTTGAATCTTTTTTGAAAGTTATTTGAAAACCGTTTTCGAGAAATTGAATTTCAGCCTTTAAGATTGCATTTTAGCCTTTGCCCTTTGGAAAGGCTGAAATTCAGTTTCTCGAAAACTACACTGGCGATTTTCAAATAACTGTCAAAAAAGATTCAAAACTTCATAACAATGTATTTTCTGCAAAAAAAGAGATAGGTCACCGTGGTTATTTGTCCGCTAAGACGGCTTTTTTGGTTGATATAGGCCATATAAATGGTGACGTCATATTGTCATGGTAACATGAAGAGTAGCAATTGTGGGTTAAAATTACTTTTTTATATAAGAGGAAACAATGACTTGTGCAAAAAATTAGTTTTTAGATTCCAATAGCTTTTAGTTTAAAACACTGATATATATTGGAAACTGTAGGGAGCCTCCTTAAGGCAAAAAGAACACAACAAAAGGATACTGATATGGCTGCTAAGCCACTACCTGCAATTCAGGTAGGACAAGCTGTTCAGATGCAACAGAAGGTTAAAGCATGGAGACCAGGTAGGTAGTGAGAAATAATGAAGATAGATCCTTTATTATAAACTCTCAGGGAGGCACATATATATATATATATATATATATATATATATATATATATATATATATATATCGTCGAAATCGACAATAAATTATTCATAGATGAGCCAGATACCAATTATTAGATCCTGGTATAGTGAACAGCCTATGGAGAACATTGAGATAATTAAAAATAACGTGTTACCAGGTAAGCCTCAAGCAAAATATCCAAATGCATTATACCTCACGCAATCGCTGTTTCCACAGAACAAACAAGCAGTGCACGAGAAATCTATAAAGAATTCCAGTGACATTACAGATATGGTAGAGTTGTTAAGTCAAGAGTAAAACCTGCATCGATGTAAGAATTTATTATCAATTTGTAAAAAGAACATTTAATTCCTATTAACACACACAAAAAATAAATAAATAAATAAATTGCTTGGCCAAATGTGATTAGAGTAGTAGATTTAAAAGTTGTATTTAGAATATTTTTATATTTCTAATAATTAGAAAAAAAAAGGAGATGTATTATATTGTAACAAATATATATATATATATATATATATATATATATATATATATATATATATATATATATATATATATATATATATATATATATATATATATATTAAATTATATTATATAGGCTATAAAAATTGTAAACAAATTCTTCTCTTATATAATAAATGTACATGTATTAACCAGCACTTACATCGTTGTGCTGTCCTTGAGAACCTCGAAATATTACAAAAGCGTATTGTAATTTAGCTGCCTTAGCTACCAAATGTGTATCCTACAATAACATTGATAGTAATAATAATAATCGAGGCTTCAGTTGGTGATGCTGCAGTTGTTGTTGCTTCAGTTGTTGTTGTTTCTTCAGTTGTTGTTGTTGCTTCAGCTGTTGTTGCTTCAGTTTTTGTTGCTTCAATTGTTGTTGCTTCAGTAGTTGTTGCTTCAGTTGTTGAGACTTCAATTGTTGTTGAAGCTTCAGTTGTTGGTGGTTCTGCAGATGTTGAGGCTTCATGCTCAGTTGTTGTTGTGGTTGCTTTAGTCGAGGCTTCAGTTGTTGTTGAGGCTTCAGTGGTTGTTGCTTCAGTTGTTACTGCTTCAGTTGTTGTTGCCGCTGTTGTTGTAACAGCCTCACAATTAAGACCACTGTCAGTGCTTCCTCCTGGACCATTGTATTCTTCCGAACAATCAGGACATTTCCATCCTGGGTTACAATGACAGTTGCCGTTTTCATTGCAGACCTATTCAGAAAGAGAGTGAAATGACACAAGAAGGAAAAAATAAGACTATAAGAGGCATAGAAAAGCTAAGTCTATATATAACATTTGGTCATAATGGATAATCTTGGGAAACTCATATAACTATAAGTTTCAACGATTATCTCCAAAAAATATAGAACTGATGAAATCAAAGCCTTAAAAATTTAAAAATTTACCCCATTTCCGTTACAGTCGTTCGTGCATGTTGGTTGTCCAGCATAAGCAACTGAAAGTGACACACACTCGTTGTTTTGACAGACCTAAACAAAAAGAAAGCGGGTTAGTGAGATTCTTTCATTGGTATATTCTGCATAAAAATGCAGAATGATGTTTTACATTCACTTTTGAACATTGAATCCCAATTTGCAAAAGTTATAAAAGCCATACTAACCATTTCATTCCCACATTTTGTTCCATCTAATACAGTAGCCCGTTCTAGTAAACCTGGAGCCTGGTAGATCTGTGCAGACCTTAAGAGATCAATTTAGAGCACATACAGTTTTGGTTTAATAATTTACTTGTCTGGAAAATATATGAAGAGAATGAAAGACCTTCACTCAAAACGTCGAAATTTGAAGTAGTTAGATCAGTCCTTTATTACATTAGGAAGGCTTGTGAGTTTCATGTGTTATTTCGCAATCCGACAATCACCACTGGATGGATTTCAAGCAGTTTCGAGCAGTGAGAGAATAATATACACTTAATGTCCGCTCCCGAGGGAAATGGTTTTGTTTCTTCCCGAGCTTTCTGAGCGAGCAAAAATTTAGTTTTACTTGTTGCCCGGCTGGATACATTGCATTTATGTGAATCCACGTGACTACAAATCAGCCAATCACATTTTGTTTCAACACTAGCTATATAACAAATATATATTATTTATCTGGTGGGTGTTCCGTGCCGGAAAATATTTTCCTGTTGTCTCAGCAGAAGTGTATACCTCGATCTTTGGTCTCGTGCTGCTTCCAAGACCGAGGGAAGCACGAGCCAAGCTTGACGGTAAATAACGTATTACTAAAAAATTCCAATGTGCGAATTAGATTTGATATCAGTTGTGATGGCTGACAAAATGCTAAAATGACACGATAGAAAACCCTTCGTTTTGACCACTTTTCCACTCAAGAAAACAATAAAGAAGGCGAACTGATTAAAATGATCTGTTTATCCGATCGCCTTAGCAACACATACTTGAAAGATGTTCCTTGAACACGTAGGCCACAACCACATTTTTTCTTGTTGCAAACAATTTGTTCATCAATCTCAGCGAAAACGACGTCAATATGACGTCTGGGAGGGAGGCTGTTTCAGGTATTGACATTTAAAGTAGGCCTATGGTATTATCGTAAAACGATCGACGAGAAAAAAAAGCTTACCATGTGTTATGTGTTCTTGATCGGCAAAGCAAGTGAACATGCACAAACCTATCGTTCAGATTTGACTTCCACTTCCGCGCTACCATAAAGGGACCATTAACTAATCAGATGCGTTAAAGGGACCATTAACTAATCAGATGCGTGAAATCTATTCGATTAAGGGACGGACCATTAGATATTTGAGGGGGGGGGGGGCAAATATCAAAAAAAATTCGCGCACAGAAAAAATCCAGAAAAAAATATCGTGCACAACAAACCTATTGAAAAAAAAATCGAGCAAGAACAAGGGCTGAAAAATTTTTTAGGTCACCTAAAAAAATATCGTGCAAAGGAATGTTGTCGAAAAAAAATTCTTGCAAGCAATTGGGGCATGAAAAAAAATTCGTGCACAGAAAAATTGCCCCCCCTCCCCTCAAATATCTAATGGTCCGTCCCTAACCAATCAGATGCACAAAGAGCAAGTAAAAAGTAGCAGTATAGCGGTTGTAGAAGTCTGTGGCTTGGTGGCTGCTGTAGTCCTGCAAGTTAGGTGAGGGCAACTGAAAATTTTGACCTATTCTTTTAAATTTCCCAAAGTTTATAAGTATTCAGGGCCGCCCAGAGGGGGGGACGGGGCAATTTGCCCCGGGCCCCCTGATAAAGGGCCCCCAAAATGTTCAAAAGGGGGGCCCGAAAGGTGTAAGTAAAAAAAATATTTGGAATGTTTTTTAAAAAATTTATGGTATGAGAGAAACCATTTAAACCTTAATTTTACTGGTATTGTTCCCAAAAATGTGTTTTAGTTGTGATTTTACAGGTATTTGTACGGAAATTTTTTTGAACCTTATAAGATTAGTTAATTTTAGTGGTGTTTGTCGGGAAAAATTTTTTTGAAGCTTTTTTGGATATGTCCAGAAAAAACTTATACTTCCTCTCCTTCTCACTCCCCCCTCCCTTTGCCAGTTTTCTCGAGTTTTGGCATTCGTGTTTATCTTGTTCAACTTTTCAAATTTTGCCAGCCTCGTCATAAAACAAACACTAGCACTGATCTCAACTCATTTCGCAACACTGGAATTTAATTTTACATCTGCTAGAAAATAAACCGCACGTTATTTACCGGCAGCGTCGGTCCATATGGGGAAATTGAGAGGGCAAAATTATTTTGTTACTCATGTAAGTCAACATTTCTGAGGATGACGACCACTTACTCCACATAACTTGGACCTATCTATATTCAAAACAATAATGCCTTTTCTCTTCAACCGTATCGTACCAAAGTGTAACGTATTTCTTTGTTTCCTGAGCGAAACGGAGTAAAACTAATGACTGTGACATAAAAGATAATGTTACGATACGGTTGAAGTGGAAAACGGGATTTACATAACAATTATTCGCGATACTAGCTATAGAATAATATTAGTTTTTCTTTGATTATATGGAACTTACCAACAAGTGATTGCTCCGCTGTTTAAAGTACCTGTAGTCCTACGATAACCGAAGCCAAAATTTTTTGGTGTTATTGTGGTGGTATTACCATTGCACCATAATTTACCACACTGAACATTCCTGTAAAACATTAGAGTAGTATAGAGTCATCCGTGAGCACCACTATATCTTGGCGGTTGTACGACGTCAAGATATGTTTATATTAATTGAACAACAAAATTACTAAATTAACAATTTTAAATAATTTTATACGATTGTGTATTAAGTAAGATGTACATTACTGGAACAACTGAGTATTTTACAAAATGGAAAACAATGGTAACTTCCAAAATGAATGTTTTTACTATCCTTCCATATGATGTATGTATCTTTACTTACAAAATTAGTATCCTTATTTTGAAACCTAGCATCATCCCTGATGGTGATGGCTCTGATTAAAAAATGTTCATTTCCTGAGTTACCATTGTTGAGTTGTATATTGATATGGATTAATTGTAGTATACGATAAATGGTGAAATGTAGATGAAATGTGAACCGCACTTACTCTGGTACACAAGCCATATATGTAGTTCTTGATGTTCTTTTGCAGTAACCATGCACATCATTAAGTAGGTTGAACGTCGCATAGCAACGATCATCGGCTTTAAAAGCACCTTTATCAGAAAATACATTTCAAATCAGTTGAAGGTTGTGAGTTCAGAACCAGGCATAACATCAAACAGAATGTAGTTCATTCTTTTAAAATTCCGTTCCAGTGTTTTTATACAAAGATGCATGATATCATCACTCAGGAAGGTAAATATATTCTTGCACAAAATAGTAATTTTGTCTCTATTCAATGCAGCATTTCAAACATGACACTAGACTGAACTATCGAAACGTTCGACGTTCGTGAATGATACGAGACCGCAGCCTAAGCGAATTTATAAAGCACGTAAACCTTATCAAGTTAAGGAAAAAAATATTAAATTGAAACTAGGTACATACTTTCAACCCACAGTTCATTACATTGTTCATCATACGTTCCACATTCTCCTTCATGACAATATCCCTAGAAAAGTTATAAAGAAAATTTAGAAGTTATAAAGTATTGAGTAAAGTATTGAGTTTTACTATTCCAGTAAATAACAATTCTGTAGTTGACCATTATCATCAGTGATCGAAGCGCTCCCATAAATAAAAGTAAAAAATATTGACAGGCTCAGAAAATAACAATTGTAAGCTTATATCTCACCCTATCATTATTACAGGATAAGCCATTCACTGTCACCAGATCAGCAGGACACTAAAGTATGATTAATTATATAATAACGTTAGCAATTCCAGCGCTTTGGACAGACGCACGAAATTACGTCACACATGACGTAACTTAAGGTAGCCAATAGCATTACCTTATTTGTATAGATCATGTACGCGTGATATTTGTAAAATTTCGACTTTTTCAAATTTGCAAATGTTTGGGTAGATAAAAAGTAATCTATTTACCTGTTTAATTCGACGTTCTTCATTTTATTATATAAAACAAATAGATACGATTTTGCCGTTGTGTGTTCAGTTACAGATACACAGTATGAGTCAGACATCCTAATGGGAGAAGAACACAAATGTGACCCACTCGCCTCGGCGGCTCGTGACGACCTTTTGTTCTTCCCACATTATGTCGTCATACTATGTATCTATACTGAACAAGCAACGGCAAAATCTTATCTATTTGTTAATTAAATTGTTTATAAAAATTACATGACATGCATGTGCACCATCTGTACATGCAACCACGATGCAACCCGGCATTATCTCATCATTTATCGGACGAGAACGCCGATGGGACTGGTAGTGTATACCAAACTTAAATTAAATAAGTGAAATTTTCACAATGTACCATCGTAACGCATCTACACTTACCACTTCACTAGTCCCATCGCAATACTCTGAAACATCGCACAAGTTTACAGCATCACGGCAAGCTGTTCCTCTGGCGATAAACTACATGGAAAAAACCAAAATAGTTAATAAAGTTTTTTGTAAAGGCATAATTTTGTTGATCACAGTACTTACTACTCCTTACCTGACAGTCACTGCAGCAAGCCCCGCCTGCGCATTGTGCTCCTTCATTCAGCGTACATGAAGTATAATTGCAGCATGTGTCGCCAATTCGTTCACAGTCCTGAAAAATATTGTCAAATACCAAATTAGTATTGTAGTACTCCATAATATATATCCACTGATCTAGCACTGAGGTAGCTCGTAATTACGTTGTTTATATGGTTTTATCATTTTCGTTATAGCAACTACTCTCTGTTATTTCCAACCAAACTGAATAACATTCATTTTCGTAATTTCGTCCACAGGACTTAACTATACGCAGCATTCCTAAAAACCTTTGATTTTCCTGGTCCAGTGCTCTGGAATCTGGACGGAGCGCAATGCATTACAATTTCCTGATGCATGGTGTCGCTTTTGATAAAATGTTATTTTTACTGAAAATCAGTACTAAGTCACCTCTTGTGCACCACAGTCGCATTCTTCTCCATCCTCCAGAAAACCATTGCCACAGGCTACGGGTATTGCCAACTGAAGTAAAATAATAGAACAGAACTCATTAGGAATGTGAGATTATGTTGGACACCTCTGCCACAAGCTGTTTATCTGTTTTCCCTATTTATAGAGATCCAGTAGAACTAGAAACATCCAGTATTAATGTACACTATTCATTCAACTATAGAATTCAACCGTGGACCTGATTACGCAACCCTGAAAAACTAAAAGGACTAAAAAATATATAACCGGAAAGATTTTTAACATACGATTGAGACGAAATTATCATCATACAACTGCATAACATAGGAAAAAATCTAATTTTCCAATTAGTGGATTTTGGAGAGTTTTTTTTCAATTTTAATATTTATATTTACCATATCGAAACCATTCATATAGTTACTGAAACATTCATGGTTACCATTATATTGGTTATTATAAATTTCCCTAAAGGCAAATTAGTAGGCTAGAAACCATCACTGTTTAATTATTACCATATATGTTAATTTTTTCTTGTAGAAATAGCCAACTTTCATCTCCGTGCAACACCTCCCTAGAGAAGTCCTGCACCACGCTAAAAAATCTGCTTGACCATTTATTTCCTGCTTTTTGAATAGCGATTAGCGGAAATTCTACTGTTAGCGCGTGCCGATTTGAAACGATTTAATTCATTTGTGAGCTCGCGAGAAATACTCAGAGTGCTTTAGTTAAATATCATGGCTAAATATCTAAACATGTCGAGGTTGGTGATGCAGATTCGGCGATCTCAAATAATCAGGTAATACTAATTCTGGGAAAATAGCGTTCCAGACTGCACCGGGCTGTATAAGGATCCCTTATGCACCAATCCATGGAAAACCTGCACCCCTCCTTGCATATGATGCTAGATCCGTCTCTGTATCCAAGTAAACTGGGAAGCAAAAAGAGAGTATTCATAAATGCAGTATTTTTTCAACGTACTTTTGTTGGTTGATTAAACAGACAATGTCCAATATTTCTTAAAAGTAAGGTCTCTAGATCATTTATGCTACATTGGGAGAAATCCTCTGGTGGTATAGACCTAAAAATAGAAAATGTTATACAATAATTAAGTTATGAAAGTTACTCTGTTTTCTTTGAAAACTAGAAAATTTAATGTTAAAATAGGAGAAAAGCTTGCTTTCCAGTCATATACGTTGATACGCACAGAAAAAACTTCTAAGATTTATATTCAACAAAATCTTTAACAATTATACACTATAAATCGTATGGAAACTTTCATTTGATTATTTCATGAGTATCATTATAAATGGATTTTAACTTTTCCTTGTGTGTACATGCTGCATATCATACTGCATACACGTCATATAAAACGCATGACTGGAAAAGCAGACTTTATTGCATGACACTCGTCAGCCTGAAATACTGAATAAGATGCAGGGGCGCACATTAGGGGGGTGTGGGGGGTGTGACACCCCCATGTTTTGTGGAATGTATCTAAAAAGTCGGTCCCGAAAGCTGAATGGGACAAAAAAAGTCCGGCTAAAATCTGAAAGACATCATTTTGTGTCGAAAAAAAGAAATAGGTGGACATTTTGGAAATGAAAATTGCCTAAAAATGACAAAAACACATACACAAACCAAGAGATCAATCATATTATACTAGCAGCAAATAATCAATTTTCGACAGTTCAGCCCACGTAATGCGATCAGATTACCTCAAGCCCCCGCGGTGCAGTTAAAAGGCGCATTGTTAGTCTTGTCGCACAAACTGAAAGTCTGAAACTTTGAAAGGCAGAAGTTCAGCTGCGTAGCCAAGAGGGGGGGGGGCTCGGGGGACCCTGCAAATGGGCGGAAGGACTGCGCTTGTGAAAAGCTGAAAGCCGGGAGAAATTGTTGGGTGGGTACGATGTGTGAATAATGATACCCATCTCTTCTGTTTACCAATAAAAGTTGTAGTCTTCCCTATCTAGAATCCCAACTCCAGTAAACAATGCCTATGGTTGTTGAAAACACATTTGAACTTGTACAAAAGGAAGACATCGTGCTATTTTGCTGTTGTATTTGCGTGTCGAGTAGAATGTTTTACATAAATATTTTTTCGATCTAACAACAATTAGGCGACTTACAGTGAAAATACAAAAAGTGTCCCACTTCTGCTTCTGTAGTTTGTTGTGATTTACTGTAATTTGCTCTGTTTTACGATAAAACTTAGTTTTTTCTATTTTTAAATATGATAATTTGTAGCAAAGAGAAATAATACATTTTTCGTTGCATTGCATAAAAGGAACGAAATTTATATTTTATCGTAGTATTTGCCGATAAATCGGTAATCGCTACAGAAAAAACAGAACAAATTACAGTAAATCACAACAAACTACAGAAGCGGAAGTGGCACACTCTTTGTATTTTCACTGTAAAAATGCCTTTTTGCGATAGTACCTTTTCTTCAAACCTCGTCCTAAAATACGTGAAATAGCGTTCTATTGAATCTAGAAATTCAAAATTTTCCTCGCGCCTTGGGCGCTCGCATTTGAAATCCATAAAATTGTTGGACTCCCAAAATTTAGACCACTGCAGAAGTTCTGAAAACTGAACGTTTATTTAAACTCTTTAAATAGTTGGCTTTTCTTATCAAACAAAAATACTACAAAAGTCGGTCCCAGAACATAGACACCCCCCAAACTTTTTTTGAATGTGCGCCCCTGATAAGATGGGGCATTTCAACGTTTTGAGTCAGGTCCTAATTCGTCAGGGAAATTAGTAGGAACTAGGAAGATGTGATAAACACACTGCTGTTATGGTGAAACAACAAAGCAGCGTCTTTGCTGTTTCTTCTTACAAACACTTCTGACAAAAGGGCCAAGATTCAAAATCTCTGCCAAATTTGATATGTCGGAATCCTTTGCTGTTCAGTCGCTTATAGAAAAGATCGTTTCTCTAGGCAAGAGAACGTCGAGTACTCGTCTGAAATACACGCTTCCAGAAAGTACGTTATACTTTGGCTATAGAGCCTAGTGGTTCTCGCGATTGCGTCCACGTACACGAAACCGAGGGTCTATAGCCAAGGTGACGTATTCCCGGAAGGGTGTATTGATCCGTTTTCGAATTCGACTGCACTATAGCTCCATATCAGGCTAGTTCAATTGTCGGCAGGTTAGAGTGTTGATGAATGGTAATAAATTCTCTTTCAATTCATCGACAATGTTTTATATAGAAAAACTGTCGACCAAAACCTCTCGTCATCTATTTGAAAGCGATGACTATATAGCCTAACACGCCATTATATATACAATACATGGCCAAAAATTGCTACATAGTGCTGTGACGATCTTGGTACTGATTTCAAGAATATATCATCCCCATTTCTTAGGCCGACGAGTGTATAAACAACATGCAACCGTGACGTATATCTCCATGCACCACGGATGACCATGATGTTTCTAAATTATGATAGTAAAACATGTCACCTTATAACGGCGTTCATCACACACCTACCAGAAGGACACGATAAGCAATCTTTGTAAAACAAAAATTATTTATTAACATGATGGTATTGCTGCTGAAAGTACATTTTGTCACGTGTTAAAACCAGGGTATTAAGTTTACGAGCTCTCAAAAACGAAAGAATACGAGCTCTGGTGCAGACATTCCAACCAGGCTACTCCGATTTCTAGATTTACCTCCCGATTTTAATTTAAGCCTCCCATGCGTGGCTAATTTTTCAGAAAGACTGGATTATCGTTAAGAAAATCAGTTTTCACTAAGATTAGATGTGCGTCGCTGTGCGTAACTTTTAACTACCGGTACAATGAAGAAAATAATTTTTTAAATTGATAACATACAAATGGTAATACAAAGGTGTGAAAAGATTAACAGTGAATTAATTTGCCAATCACCCAATTTCAACTAAGGTTGGAATGCTGCTGGTGAAAATAATTTTCTTAGCATGTTTCGCCTGTCACACCGCGTGTTGGCTTTGATAGGAACAAAGTTGCCAAAGTGGAATTTTATCTTGGCTGCTAATAAACCGTATACATGAACTAAAGTGTATACTAAAGAAAAACCCATTTGTTTGGGAAATGGATTCAAGCAAAAACGTAACTGATAAAGAAATACGTAATCGGTAAGAAATATGTTTTGATTGCTTCAGTGTTTTTGCTGTGAGCCTGTAAGTATCAAACAATTATCTCTGTAATCATATTTCGTTCACTTGTAACGATTTCAACTATATAAATTATTAAACTATTTAACCATTGTCAATTAAAACGTCGCTAGAATAACTTGTTCGCTACACAAACTCGTTCGTTTAAAGCTGTACTCTTCATATTGACCTATAAACAAGAGTGGTACCAGATCAACAACCGCGTTATGGATTAATTAATTTATATTTACCATCATCATGTTGCAAACCAAAGTTATGTCCCATTTCATGCGCCATGAGAGCACCGGTGAATGCCGAATTAGAATTGTAATCCTGATAGAAATAAGAACATTGTAGTACTTATAAAGCGGCCCACATTATTTGAGGATTTATTGCAATGTTCTACCTGGTTCGTCAGATAATTGATCTGTCTTCAGTAAACGTTGGAGAACATGTTAATTTCAAATTATTTACTGTTTGTCTACATAACTCATATGAATCAGCAAACCAGTCTCCGTGTACTCACCGCATTAATACCAACAGACAAATCTGGAGAACAGATTGTTCTAATATATGCCTTCCCAATTACGTTCTGGTCATACCTCATTTCTCTATAATAAAGACGGACGTTAACACTGGCTTGCATCGGTCGCGAAACAGTCTTTGCTTTGGTAGAAAAAAATATTATGTAGTCAAATATTTCTTAATTAACCTGACGTTTGTCCTTAATTATGTAACGTTACCCTCCACTCATCACAAAAAACCAGCGCAAACCCGCTGGATTTGGATGAAAGTTGTGAGCACTGTGATTGGATGAAAGTGCTCGCAACGAGCTTGCAAGTCCACCCTTGAGCGGAAAAGAGCCGAAAAACCCTGTTCACATGAACTCGGGACAACATTTTGTCCCGGGTAACTCTTTATCCCGGAAAAAAGTTGTCTCGGCGCGTTAAAAACAATGCTTGTGTTTGTATAATATGTTGATTTGTACCAGAGTAAAGAAATGACCCAGACAGGGACACTCCTCCGACCTTATACAACACAGATTTGGAATAAATCAGATGTCTCACTCGTCAGAAAGTTTTCCTGAGATATTTTTACGCATGTGCGAACCGCCATTTTGCTAGTGAAGCAGGCGACTTATTGGAAGATCTCTGCTTTTTGTTATGTAAATATTTTTGTGAAATAGTACCGTGTTTACACAAAGTTTAGTAAATAATAATAATACCCCCCGAAATGTAGAAATTCTGGGATGACTTCCATCGGGGTATGATAAGTTCAGAATACAACGTGAATGAATCCACCTTTCAGATGATGGGCTCTCGCTTGGCTGTTGATCTGTGCTATACTGCTCCCTGAAAGACTTAGACAGAGGAAGGTATGGAGCTTGGAAGAGAATAGAGTAGTTTATAAATCTTATATAAGGAGCCAGCCAGAAATTATAGGCTATAAAAAGAGATAGAATGCATGTTTATTGTATATGAACAGAACTAATAGATCAAATGAAGCAAATAGAACAGAAAGGGTGGTTATCATTGGTAGCAATAGAGGAAATAAAGAGGATTGTGCTGACTAGGAATAACATAGGTGAACAAAAAACGAGAAGAAGAAAGTCAACACGTGGTTGAGGAAACAGGGGAGGAGGAAATATATAGTTAGTTTTGGAGAGAATTTGTCAGATGAAGATCAATTAATAGCAGATAGATTGAATTAAGTTGAATGGAAGAGATTACCAACATTGAAATGAAAGGTATTTAGTAGACAGAAAATTTTAGTAGAGGTTAACAAAGTTGATAGTGTATTAAAGGAAAAAAACTCCTGATAATATAACTGGTCCCAAATGCTGTGCTGGTAATAACTGAAAGGCTTGGTGTTAGCCTACGAACCCATATCGGAAAAAAGGCGAATTGAAAGTAAAATTAAGGAGATTCATTAACAGAAGGCAAAGATGAAAAGAAAGGTTATGGGTAGCCTGCAGAGAAAATACTGTTTGAAGCAGAAAGGAATGGGAGCAGTCAAGGAGGAACTTATAGGCAGAGAATTACAGCAAGGGCTCTCAAGTTAAAACGATATAAGAATAAAATATAACAATTCAGATAGAATAGTGCAACATACCAGGCTAGATTTTACCAAGAATTGAGTGGAGTACAGGAACGCAGTGTCGCACCAGATAGTGGGGAAGCTAAGGAGTTTTGGAGAGATATTGGAGCAATGTCGGAAAACATAGTAAGAGATGCATAACTGCATGGATAGCACAGGACCAGACCTAGTACAGGGATTTTGGTTGAAGAATTTTATTAGTTCGCATGATAGATTGGCTTTGCACGTCGCGTGTTTTTTTTTATAAATATTCCTCGTTTAACGAAGGACCAAAGAGTTTCGATTTGTTTAGAATATGCAAGGGTAAATATAATGTTCGTGAGGTTATACCGGCGGCGTTGGGCAGGTCTCTGAAAACGAACGTGTACTTTCTGACTGTGTGTATATAAACACAGATTATTGCTGTACTAATATTTGATAGGCCGTTTTCGGCCAATTCTCGACACTTTCAACTCGACAACCACTGTATCTCGGTCAATATTGCATAAAAATACACATGGCGTATATCAAAATTTAAGAAAAACATTATTAATCTTGTTTAAGTGTAATAGCTCTTTTAGTTTTTAGGTCAGTACTATAAATCAAATCCCACTCTTATATAGAGTATTTACAAATGTTTGCTAGTGTCGATAACATTAGACAGTTCTAATTTACAGCATGAAGAAGTGGAGAATGACATTCTTATGGAGATAACTTAACACCAGGAAAGGGATATTTCAGGCAGAATATTTGTCACCACTATTGTTTGTGGTTTCATTGATGTCCCTTTGTCTAGTCCTTATAGGAGTCTGCTTATAGATTTAGTTGTGGAGAAAAGGTTAACCAGTTTAACCATCATGCACCTACTGTTTAATACGCATTAATGAAACTTTATATATATTTCTGCCTATATGCATGGCGTTCTTGCGTGCGTTATGTTTGGCACTATAGTCTGTATAATACTGAATATGTTTAATTTAACTGTTATGTTCCAACAGTACCGCGACTGAGTGTGCAGAGAAGAGTAAGATTGTGTCGAGAGTTTTCTCGAGAGTTTTCTTTTTTCTTTTTTTTTTCTATTCCAAGCTTTAAAATTAAACTGAAACGGGAACTGCTTCAGCAATTTCTAGATAGTTAGCTTAAGCATGTTTTTCTGTTGTCGTTGTTATTGTCGTTGATGTTGTTGTTGTTGTCGTTTTTGCTGTCGTTGTTGTTGATGATGTTGATGTATGTTGTATGCTGCTGTTGTTAATCTTGTTGTCAAGAATTTGATGCCGTGTTTGTGTATAAAGTAATTGCGTGATCTAAGTGATCTTATTATATGAATTTAGGACCCGATGTACACTTATAGTAATTAATTGATATGTATATATATTTTTGTCACTGAAAAGCCCCTTTAGGGGAGTGTCAATAAAGTCAATCAATCAATCAATCAATCAATCAATCAATTCTCTAGGACTAGGTACTACATTTCCTTGTCCTACATAAACTAGATCGAGCAACGAGAGAGAGGGTGTCCGTGGTTACTAGACTTTTAGGGGACTTCAAGTATATATGGGGATCGAATCTTGCTATGTTTACATTGACTATCACAGTCTGTCAAGGCCGTTACGCTGACGGTTAACATGAAGATTTATTCCTCTCTCTATACTATTAACTAAACACCGGCTAAATATGATCATATAATCACATACGTTAGCAAATGAGCATTATCATGATTCTTTGTTTCTTCGTTAATATCCAAAACATTGTTTTTGTAACTTCTGAAATTAGCCAGTGTTGTAGTGGAATTGCTGACCACTGGTATCAAATTTCCATTTGTCCACGTTTCAACCATCACCAAAGCAATACGGATATTATGCACTTTGTATATCTAAAAATATGAATTTATTCTCGTGCATTTATAATGTTAAGTATATGTAGGAACATAGTGGTAGGAATGATCAAATAGTCACCGAATACTCACCGAATCAACGACATTAGCTATGCTAATAGCTCTGAGTTTGGTTTGGGCAATATCGCTTCCGTAACTTACGAACTGAAAAGAAGATAGGAAGTGATTGAATCTTATTATTAAAATTGTCGGCTTCCTTGACTAATGCTGTGCTATAGGAATGCGATCAGGGTAAAGATGGGAATTAGGGTAAGAGTAAGGGTTAGAATTGGGTTAGGAAAAGGATTGGGGTTAGGATCAGCTCAAGAGTACGATTTCGATTAGGGCCAGGCCTGTACAGATAATGAAAAGTTCAGGGTAATTCTGAATCACTGTATTTAAGATGTGGTTATTAGTATGGATATTGCAGTTAAGATAATCAAGTTAGGTTAAGTCCTGTATATCTGACAATCCAACATATAACAGAGTCTGGTTAATTGTTACCTGGCTATAGTCATTTACCAAGATCAGTTCGACATATTTAGTTTCTGTGAGGAGATCACGACGAGCCTGGAAAAAATACAAGACAAGCGTGTTTCTCCACAATTGCCATCGCACCAACTTTACCAGAGAGTTGAAAAGTTCCACTAATTCTAAACTGATGTGGATATAGTCTTATACCACATGAATAAATTGTTTGGGTCAATTAAACTGGGAGAACTTTTCTCTCACATTCTTCTGTGACAACATATTTCACAACTATGGACAACATATTTCAAAACAGAAATATTTTTCATAATTGAAGTCTTACTCTATGGTGTTCATATACAGGAAATTGATTCAAGAAGTCGTAGTCGTGGTCAGTTTCTGTTTCATTTCCTTCATGGTTCCCTGAAAATAAATGTGATTAAATTGTTGTAAGTAATGAGCACTTTACTACAAACATTCTAATATATTTCACTATTTTGTTACATTGCATGATATTTTGTGGTGCAATATGGTATTGTGTGGTATTGTACGTTGGTACGATATGAATGATATATGGTATGATATGATTTGGGTCGGCTTGGTATAGTATATAATTTGGAAAGGTAAGGTTTGTATAGGTAATAGTAAGGCCTCGTATGCAATTTGGAAAAAACATGAACGAGTGACAATCAAGAAATTAAGAAATTAAGAAATTTGAAAAATAAAAAAATTAAGAAAAATTAAGAAATTTGCACTGCATTTCTTTTTTTTGCACTGTATTTCATTTTTGGCACTGTATTTCGAAAACATTGCACTGCTCTTAGCCGATCAGAATTGTGAGATTTTTCATGTGTATTATTAGTTATAGGTAACCGGTCATTAATAATGGGGGATGGGCGGTGGGTGATAAATACCAAATATTGAACATTTTTTAGAGGAGCCCCAATTGCAAGACCTATATTTTCAAGACGCCCCCACCTTCATCTAGAAAATTTAGGACTCCCCCCTCCAACATTTAATTCGTTACATTTTTTGGTGTAAAATAGGTAATGGATAAGTACTGGTGTAAGACATTGTGTAACCTAAATAATTAGAGGACCAGTATTCCAAATGGTTGCTATTTACTCCGACTCCTATGGTGAACTGCATATACGTAATACAATATGGAAACTACGATTATAGGAACTAAAAAAAGTGAAACATTTTGCCGGTGGGATACGATAAAGGTGAGAGAGGAAAGTATTAAAAAATTGGGGTCGCTCCTTGGCACATATTTTTCGGTTTGAGGCCGCCCCCAATTCAAGCAAAAACACTTGAAGCCGCCCCCCTCCCATTATTAATGACCGGTCCCTATAGAAAAGCATGGTATGCTTTGGTATGGTATGATATGATACTATATATACCGCATGATATTGCAAGCTACAGCATGGACTATGGTACGGGTATGGTACAATAAATTATGTGAACATCGTATGGTATCGACTATCGTATTGTTATGTATACTATGGTAAAATGTTGTTTTAATTCTGATCAATATAATAACTTACCGCATTTAAATTCATCACCCATAATATCATTAGGAGTATAGACGATGTGAGCAACGCTCTAAAAATGATATAAATTATCAATATATTTTCACATCAAACACAGCACAGTTCTCACCATGGCTGAGGCGAATTTTTGTTGTTGTGACAACTACATATAAGTACAGTACCTTCTTATTCTTGTCAAACAGCGGTTGAATAAAGATCGTCTCGTCATTTATTCTGAAGTAACCACTACAGAAAGAAAAAGAAAGCTAGAATTAGTGTATCTGTACAGCCAGCGTATAAGACCATGAATTAGTAATTTAAGATCAAATTGAGCAGAAAAGTCAACTTACTGGAAACCTTCACATGTAGTCAGAGCCAGATTTGAATTCTCTTCGTTCCTTGCATGACCATGAAAAAAGCAATCGTGTGTTCGCTAAGATACGAGATAATATATTGATGGAAACCACTAGGGTAGTTGGCATTAAAATAAAAAAAGAAGTTCAGTACATCAATTATATAGAGTAAAATAAGTTGATAGTCGTTCTATTGTTGTATCATTGATATACTATAGAACATGTATATGCAGTGAAATTATAATTGTTGTGCAAACCTTTCTCAACACAGTGTTTCCATCAGGAAGGTAATATCTCTCCTTATATCGATGTGAGACCAAGTTTCTGGAAAATAATTGGATATGTTTTCAACTAGTAGTTTAGTATACACATGCAATGGTAATATATATAGTAAGAACTTGGTAATAATGTAAATTCTATCTGTTAAGAAAGGCGATGGAGGGGTTGCTGGATGCATGTATTTCTAGTGTAAATTCTAGAAGATGTTATGAGTTTATTGGTGGGCTTCATGCAGTAAGCGTACAGAAGCTTGCGATCAACACCTGGCTTATTTACCACTACAAAACTATACTGAATATGACAAAAACAAAGTGTAAACCAAAAAGGTAAATTTCAAAATATATTACAGAGTATATATAGAAATTAAAAAAATATAGGAACAATTATGATGCAAGTATGGAATAAGGTGAGAATTAAAAGAACTGTCAGTGTCTGTCATCGGGGTGGCCAGTGCCAAGTTTGAATATGAGACATTGCTGCCAGAAATGGGACAGTGATTGGCTGATTGCTACTATTGCAATGTCTGGCAAAAGGTCAATTGCAATGACAGTAACCTGATGCTCACCAACCATATCTCAAAAATCTTCCAGTTTTCCCATGGAAGAGATACAGTATAGATGAGATGGTAGGAGGCGTTTGCTTTATATTGAGACTGAGATTTTTGAGGACAACTTTTGCCGAACATTGGCGTGTCGTCATTGACAACAACGCTAACTAACCAGTTGCCAGAAATTTCAATAGTGGCAATCACAGTGTTTCAGACATGAAAATTTGAACCCTCTCTTCCATTTCTCATTCTGACAGATAGCCTCATTTCCAAATTTGGCACTGTTTATCCATGTGGTTTTAATGAACGTTTTCCCATGTTTAGCTCTATTTTTGAACTTTCATACCGGGTAATATATTCTGTAAATCTGTAATATTATTTAGATTCTTACTTTACATTATATGTGTTTTGTCTAAATCTATTTGATTGGTTTATTTTTGTCACGTGAGCGCTTTCATATTCACAAGTGTAAAATTAAAGCAAATGTAATTTTTCCAATCCACGTACTAACTCCCTGACCAGGGGACTTCGTAACGTCAAAGTTTTGCTTATATTTTTCAGGTAGTTGTATATTATTTCATTCACACCACATTTGTTTGTTATTGCCTCTACCAACACTGGCACCGACCGTTAAATATTATCACAGTGATAACTGTCTGTCGTCCCACACTTGCTGCACGATAATGACAAATAAAAAGTCACACCTGTTGGGCACAAGATCAAAGACAACCGTTTTCCCATTATGCACGAAAGATATACTTCTCTCAATTTTTTCATCCTGTAACATCAAAAACGAATTATCTCTATTTTTTCATATACTTTTCATACCTGGTCCAACAAAATAAATTCAGAAATTAGATGACCAAACCTAAGCAACATGACGTAAAGAAAAATTGGAAAATGACAACCACAACTGTATTCCATACGCGACCTACCGAGTCATAAAAGTCAGGGAATTCATTGGCTATAGGTGAAACATCTTGAGGATAGACAATCTCGTATTTCTTTAATTGATCCAAGAGTTCTTTATCTTTTAAATTTAGATCATTGTACAGGGTACCAGGAATTTGTTTCAACTCCACTTTGTCTACAATATACAAAACATTATCTTAACTTTTTTTCAAAATGCTTTCAATTTTCGGAGTATCTATTGTTTTGTATTTTATCTTAACTCGATAATGCCAAAATTTAAAAGAAAATTCAGTGTTATTCTATATACTATAAAATCGGTATTATTCTATATATTATTATTATACTAAAATTTATAGTAGTTAAGTTCACATAACTAGTTTTATATTTGAGTGTTCCTGCAGCCTAGTAGTTTTCATCTCTGTGGCTATTTCATCTATTTTATTCAATCCTGCAATATGTAGTTTACTGCATCATATTTCCACCTCAGAGAAGAGTGCAGTTCAGTTTAATTGTCTCTTCAAGCACCACGAGTACAAGAATAAAAAATTCTACGCGTTTACTCGGACTTTTTCCTACATGCAGTATGGCTAGATCAGTAGGAATCTGGACCTCTACCACAGAGTAGAGACATACATAGACGTAACTGACCGTTGTAAACACTGCGGAAGATTACGTTATCATGTACCCACTTTTTTTCAGGCGACCGGGCGAAAAATGATCAACTGCGCGTACTCAGCAAGTTTAAAGTGAGTCGTCATCAAGTCGTCATCCAATCAGATGCATGCATCTAGTAACTTGCCGAGCATGCGCACAAAAAAGTGGGTACACCAGTTATGTCTCTGTATGTCTCTCCTCTGTGCCATATGAGAACAGTTATGAATTGATATACAGCCACCAATTATTAGTTAAAGTACTTAAAGGGAAATGGCAATATATATTTTTTATTTTCTCGTTTGAAAGAACATTTAAAACCATACTGGAAAAACTCTTTCACCGTTTTTTCATATCTTGCTTACTTCTACAAATATTTTAATTGAAAGAAATGTCCGCTATCTTGGATTTTTGTAGATATGCATGTTACGTCACAACAGGGTCATGCCATATTTTTATCTCGACGATCATCAATCATTTTGCACTCAAAATTATACTCTGCATGCCCTTGGAAATATTAAGATCACTTAAAACCTTTCAAACATCTACCAATCAATATTTGGTCAGCAACGTCACCAAAACTACCGTTAATGAGATCAAAAATGTATCCAAGATGGCGGACATCTCATTTCTTCAAATGAAAATATTTCAAGAACTAAGCAAGCTATGAAGAATCGGAAAAAAATATTAAATAGTTTCAAAAGTTATTTCAAATGAAGAAATAAAAATTTATATTGCCATTTCCCTTTAAGTACTGTTAGTGTTTTTATCTTACTAAATTTACACCTTCAAATTCGCTTGATAGCGTCTTACTCTTAGTGATTAACTGTATTCTATAGCAATTTTCCATTGGCATTATATCGGATTTAGTCATTATTTAATTTTGTTATATTGTAATATAAATTGACACTTATTAGATTAGTCATTTTCCCTGTGTGGTTTGCCACACAAAAATGACGGAGAATGCCTGGACTCATGACGTTGTGATAAAGACTACAAGCAGCGTTAGCGTCGTCCTACGCAATACAATTAGGCTAATTAGCCACCCACGGTTGGACAAAAACTATCATATTAAAGCCAAATTCAATCAATAATTAAGTCAACAACTTATTCCGGGTCAAATAAACTTAATCCTGGCCGACTCATTTCAAGAAGCAAATGCCTGTTTGATGATCATTGGATCACTGAAACTGTGAAATTCAATTGCTAGTTTAAAAAAGTATTAGATAAATAGCATATGACACAATGTTCTATATAGCATTAGCCTACTATCTAAAAGGTGGGAGACAAAATAGATCTTTTATTTTCAAAATCCGTGACCACGAAATTCATTGATATTGTTTCTTACCAAGTTGAAATGAAGTGCAAGCCATGGGAAGAAACAGAATGACCAGCATCTATAAAAAAATCCAAAACACATACATTTACAACAAATACGTATAACAATTCGTCTGCACCCTGTGGTAAGGCTGGTCAACGAGTTAAGGTCCTTAAAATATTGCATATAATGTAAAATATTACATGAAACAGATGGCAGTTATCACCAGAAACATTTCATGAAAGTGTTAATGCCAACAAAGAAGAGAGTGAAGGAAAAGTTACCAATTTTTATTGGAATATTTAACAGTGAAGACATCATTTCAATTTCATTATTTCCCTTTTGCAAAGCTTTAATTTCGATTCGTAAAGCCTGTATCTTCATCATTGTGATAATATACGACTTGTTTTAGTTAAACAAAACCAAAAAGAACAAAACAAAACATAAACAATTTAAACTCAGTGCATAATTTTTAGTACGATTTCGAGAATGTTTCGAAGACTCAAATTATATATTTATCAAGGATTAGTATGGCTATAATATACAGACATGCATATGCAGGCAAAGATCTGATACCATCACGAAAAATCACGCAATTTTGTAACAAAACTACATAGTACTTTTTAACAAAGTAGGCACATACCTGAAATTTTGACTGATCCAAAGGAACCATTTCTATGTATGATATACGTATGATATACTGATTGAATGTTCTATCTTGTATATGTTATCTTACATACGTGCGAATAACATTGATATGTATATAATCAGTGATCCATGACTTCAATTAAAGAAATTAAATAGAAATTACACAATTTTGGCGACGATTATATGCAACAATATGCTGCTAGGAGCAACAAACAATACATATTTATATATATAATTATGTACATAGCAAAATTATGTATGTACCATATCAAGACCATACTATATACAAAAATATTCTGTTCCTAAACATGGAAATAGGATTTAATTATTTGTTCTTTGGCACCGGAAGGCAATGCGGTTAAGCCAACGCAAATACACCCACCAGCAGAGGCCGCGGAAGCATTTCGAAAGTGGAGGGGCATTAGCCAAACGGGGCATTTTGTATATGACCAAAATCAAACGATTTTATAGTTCGAACACTCCGTAGTTACGCTGTTGCCACGTTCTACAAGCCGTTTTGGTATACTATCGGCATTCTCGTTGACTTTCACCTTTCACATATTTAGCTCGTCTAACCCAATTCAATAGCAAACCTGGAAGAATTCACTGGAAGTAAGTGAACCCCTGACTCGTCCCCAGTCGCTCGCGTTGCGCCTAACCCGCGAACGGGCAGATTCTCCCGCACCTAAAATGTAGCGAGGCACTGTGGAAGAGTCAGGGTGAACCCCCCATCCATCGACGGAAGTGACATCAGACTTTTTCTCTGTCATGACGTCATCAGCGTACGTACGTCCCTGTACGTACGCATGTATATACGCCCTTTGTCTCCAGAATGACATGGCGAAATCGTATATCGTTTATGTAGTATTTAAAACACGAGAAGGAGTGTTTTATCATATTTAAAACGCGAGGCGCAGCCGAGCGTTTTAGATATGATAAAACACTCCTTCTCGTGTTTTGAATAGCTTAAAATACGACTACAGGAGAATACTAATTAGGATATAACAATTATATAAAGAATACTAATGAAGAGGAGTTTTATCAGATATAAAGTCACTCCACGTCACATTTTATGGCTGACATGATTTGCCACAAGGTTTATGAATTTTTAATGAGTATTTTAAACTCTTTTCAATGATCTGGTGGCTCTTTTTGTTCTTTCCTCCTCTTTATAGCCGAAGCCAAAGACACCCACACCATGACACTACACCACGTATCTGATAAAGCACTCCTGCTCGTGTTTTAAATATTACTTATTCAGAGTGACAAAAATACACACAGACATGTAAATAAGCTCGCGAAAGACCAGTGTAAAAGCGATATTTTTAAAATTATAGTGCAAACTCAAACATAAAATTAGAATAAATTTTACCTATCTCAAGATGTCTTCTAAATGTTTTCGTTTTATCTCCAACGACAATTTAGTTTTATATAGAAACCAAAGACCATCTGTATTTTCAAAACAACAACAAACAAAATTGCGGGAAATTTTCGAACTTCGTATGTCACTCGCAAACGTGAAATACGGAAATACGCACATCTGGTTCCGGATGTAGTGGCATATGAGTTTTACGAGTGTTTCATCCTTTCCAGTAAAACACCATTGTCTATATAATAAAAATGTTTAAAATTTTTATTATTAACAAATTAAAACACTGTTCTACCTGATTGCCGTGTGAGAGTTGGATCGGAACCATTATTTAGTAAAAAAGTTTCTAAACCCGTTTTAAAGGAGTGAGAGAGGACACTGATCTGAGGGATTCCGGTAAGCTATTCCATAAAAACGCTCCGCTACTTATACAGTACTGTAACTAAAGGAACGTTTTAAATAATCCTTACGAAGTTTTGCGATGCAAAGTTTACTATTAGAATCTCTCAAGTTATAAACACTCTCATTTGAGGCACAGGAAACAGAACCTGCATGGTGTCACGACTCACGATACACCATTCTACAATACGCACATCGTGCCTTTTCATCCTCAATGTCCGCCAAAGTCATTGTCCACATCTAGAAACATTTGCTGTGAACCAAATGTCCACAGCAAGGTGTCTTGATGATAAATCGCTGTACGTCCGGAATTATATCCTCCAGGCACAGTAACCTAAACAGAGGCACTATTCTTGATGAAAGAGAGCCAATGCTGTGACTCTTAATAACTTTACCTTGGAGCTACAGCGGTCGCAGTCCATTATGGCACCGAGGTTGGCGTTGGAAAACGAACCGTCGTTGTGGAGATGTGGCGCAGCTAAAGTATTATGTTACTGTCGTGGGATTCTTAACAACTTCATTAATTGAGGACTCGAACACTCGGTTTCTTTGATATCAGCTCCTTCAGGGCCCTTCCACCATCGTCTTTCATTTTCTAGTTCGCTTTCCATTCATTCCACGTGAAGGAAGATCGCCAGGATTCTGTACTCCAGGACAGTGTCTCCACAACTCTTGTGTCGTATACTCTCGCGAATTTTCTTTATTCTTGTTATCACATATTGCTTCCACTGTTTCTTGTTCTTGATACAGTATAAAACTGACTGTCATGGAGTCGATCCAATACACGATTTTCACATCATCTTCAGGTAGTTGTAAAGCGTTATTAACGGCATTGGAAAGTCTAACAAGAATGTTAGCCCTAAGTAATTCCAGCCGGCTAGGCACACTTTGTTTCTTAAGTGGCGTGACCCTGGTGTTCGCTCATGAAACTAAATTGACATCCACGAGACCATTACAGTATTGAGATCGAAGATATATGGCAGCTGCATAAGCTCTTTCTGAAGCGTTACTGAAGCAATGGAGTTGGACTGAATCCAAATGGTTCAGAAGCGAACGAACTTAATCAGGCAAAAGCTCAACGGTTTTGTCGTTCTTGGTGTTGATTGAAGGTCCCGCCGTGGTATTCGCATACGATTCGTCTTTTTCGGTGACAGGGTTTGAGATTGGCGTTACGGAGCTGCTTGGTATAAGCTTGTCATTCGAAAGCTTCTCCTGCAGTTAACTGGAATTAATGTTCCATTTTCGTAGATTAACAACAGGTACTGGCTCGAATTAACTCCAATGGCTTCTAAACCTCGAAAATTAATGCTGATCTTATCATAAAGAAAGCGTAGTTGGGAGGCCCTTTCACCTGCACATGCTGGTATTTTGAGTAGTTCATTCACATGTGTTGATATAATGTGCTGTGGGTTTCCAAAGCGTTGATGTAATATTTCGACTGCTGCCTTATAATTGTTCTCTGATAGGGTAAACCCTTGTATCGCTCTCGAAGCTTGTACCTCTAATAGGGAGTTCAAGTGATTGAATTTGTCAATATTAAACAAGTAAGAATTGGTATGAATTGCACAATTAAAGCTGTCCCAAAAGGTTCTCCATTGGGTTATTTCACCACGAAACTTTGGCAATACAAGTTTGGGCAACTTTGATCGAGTTTGAGGGAAACACTGGCATAGGATTATCATTATTTATGAGAGACTGTTGATAAACTGTTCCTGTTAATTCAGCTGCTTGTCGACTCGCGGCGACAATGGTTCGGTGTTCTCGGATGTCTCAGAATTTAAATGTTCAAGTTGTGGTTGTTCTATCGTAGATCTATCGTTGGATCATTCGTTGATTCATCGTGTAATTTGTCTAAACTCTACTTTATGTGACGTTGTGTATCCAATGATAGTCAATATCTCTCGATAATACTTTAATAGCCCATCAGATTCTTCAATATCGTTGCAAGTGTTGTTTACATCACAAATTTCGATTACCTTTTTGTCCAATGCACTCACAAGCTTTAGTTTTTCTTCTAGCAATTTGGTCATCATGTTAAGTCGTCCGTTAAGTCGTCCTCCGGTTGGTTCTCTTCATTCAAATATCCTTCGGCTTCGTTGATTAATCTTGTAGTAACTGCTCGATTCTGTAGTAACTGTAGAAATTAACTGTATAAATAAATTATTTAAACTTCCCATATATACAGTATTTCACTGTTTGACAGGTTTAAATGTGCATGATTGAAGCTTTTCATAATTTCACATGTGAAACTGGAACATATGATATTTCACAGGTGTATTTGGAACATGCGATATCTCACTGTTTCACATGTTAACACATGTGAAATTATGGGTTTCACATGTGAAGTTTCACACATGTGAAATTTCACATGTGAATTTGGAACATGTGAATTTGGAAAATGTGAATTTGGAACATGTGATTTTTCACATGTGAACACATGTGAAACTAGAGGGCACTCAGAGACTGCATACCTCCGCCCATACAGCCTACAGGGTCAGGGTTCGTAAAGACCAAAAAAATTCAAAGACCAAAAAAATTCAAAGACTTTCAAAGATTTTTTCTGCTATTTTCAAAGACCTTTAAATTTAAAGACGTTTGAGAGCAATCAGCTGTCGAAAAAATGCAAGTCTAAGCAACATTTTTACCCAATAATTAGTCCCGTCAAATCACATCCTAAAATGCGTCTTTTCGTCGAATTTGCAAAAACCTTGTTTCAATCAATCTATTTTATTAGCTAGGAAATCGTATAATCAAATACTCACTAAAGAATTTAAAGACTTTTAAAGACTTTCTTCGCTTTTTCATACAATTCAAAGACTTTTCAAAGACCTTAAAGACTTTCAAGGATTTCAAAGACCGCTACGAACCCTGAGGGTGTATAAACGCGAGTGCATAAAGCAAAATTTATGCATTTCTTAAATGACACTTAATAAGTTTTTATTTTACAAGTACAGTACAACAACAGTAATATTATCTATTAGCAATTCGATTTCAATTCCCAGGGACCTACAACCCAAAGGGGCGTTTAATCATGTATTTCCCTCATTTCCTATGCATACGCTTTTGTCTTCTAAATTTTCCTTCTAAATTTCCACGGAAAATTTAGTTGAAAACCAAAGATTTCTTTGTCTTCTAATTTTCCCTGCATACTTGATGATGGAAATTTAGAAGACAAAAGCGTATGACTATTCAAGACACAACAAATACACTGCTGTTGTACAGTATAAATATTATGGGAATTCTTTTAGTGGACGCTCTTGTGTCAGAAAGATGCAGTCATCTTTTGCTGACAGATTAAGAAGATGTAGTCATCTTTGCTTAATCAGTTGAAGCTGAAAGTCGTATCATAATTATTACACAGCATATTATAGCATTGCATTGTAGTGATTAATTTCAATCACTTGCTCAATAGGGCCATTTATACTGACGGAAGAAAATAAGTCGCGATTTACATAAAACGCGAACACACTCGTATAAATGGTCAAATTCACTTCAAATTTTAGTTAATTGCGACTTACATAAGAACAATTAGGGTTGAGACTGGTCCACAATTAGTCACGACTTACTAGAATTAGACCATTTATACAAGGGTTTTTGCGTCTTATGTAAGTCGCGACTTATTTTCTCCCATATAACTAGAAATTAATGGCCCTAATAAGTTCTCCGTTTGGTAATATAAGTATCTTCAAAAGCAAATACCAACAGACAATTCGATTATTCGAAGTTTTACGGAATTTGTCCATGAAAATTACAGCGCGAAATAGCTACTAATAGTTAGCTGCATGTCGAAAATTTGTATAGAATTTACCTTCAAATGCGACTTGACCTTTGGCTTTGCGGTTAACCGTTATAGCGGTCTGCCGTAAAAGTCAATCTTATAAGAGTTAAGGGGAAAATTGTTTGCGAAACATATAATGCGTTGCAGTCAGACACGACATTTCTTGCATACTGTATTATTATACTGCATGGAGTCTATTACTGAACTAAAAGAAAACCATAGCATAAAGAGACACGGATACTCATTGAGGAAATTAACCACTCTCACGAATATACAGCAAGGACATTGAAAGTGATTAGTTTGGTGAAAAAGCGAACCAAATTAGTTAAAGCGGCCACTATATATGCCTGTACTATAATACTGTGTTAACACCTTGTCCACCATACTTACCCGTTTGGTTGGTTAGGTGTTAGCTCAGCTGACCGAGGGGGGTGACCTGGACGGACTCCTGTTACTTGGACTCAGATTAAGATCCGTGACAATGGCATCTTGAGCTGCCACCCCCCACCGAACTAACACCTTCACACCAATTAAAAATTGGTGGAAATAAATTGTTGAACTAAGCATACAAAAGAAAAAAAAATATTCAAAGCGCACGTTGTCGTCGTTTGGACGTCAGACTTGGAATGATAGATGTCACCTACTCCCATTGCGCCATCCCCCCGGTCATGTGACGTGCTGACGTCAGAATACCTGGTTCCCAAGTTGCTAACCTTGGTTATTGCATAACCTCATATAAACATAGTATAGAGCATATAGTCTATAGAACTAGAAACCCACTGAGAGAGAACGAATGGCGTTGACAGAATAAACATTTGACACCCTTTTTTCCGTATATTAATTCTTGTTAATACAGAAGCAAGTCTTAAAGGACATTGGCAACGAAAATTTTTATTGGCTATTTCAATCCTACTTGACAACCGAACTATGAAAATATTATCATTTCCTTCTTGAACATTTTAGTCTACGAGTAAAATGCATGCAAACTTTGTGTTTCGGCCAGTTTCGCCGCCATCTTGGAAAATATTTGCTGCCGCAGGCAGCTTCCTATTCTTGTGATTTGTTCCCAGACCTCTTTACCGAGCTATATGAATGCGACAATGATTTGGATTTAGCAATGTTTGGATGTTCAGTTTTATGACGTTTTGTGACGTAGAAGATATTCCACGGGTCTTTACGGAAGCTACCGGCTGCTCTTCGGGACTTGCCAAGATTTAGAACGAGGGCGAAACTTACAAGTTGGCAAGTATATTTAGCAAATATTGCGATTTTTAAGAATTATATCTTCATGTAAAGTCATTTTTTAAGGTAAGATCAAAGTATTATCTACGATCCTTTTAGTTTAAGAAGAATTTTCAGGAGATTTGACGATTTGTTCTTCTATTATATTTGTATAGGCTCGCGTTTGATTTTATAAATCTGACAGTGCATATTTGGTGTTGGGAATCATTGTGTTCACGCTTGTAGCTGATCAATATATTTATCAGACACTTCGCGTGTTGGTCACGGTGTGGCAACAGGCAACTCAAATAAAATTTGCATCAATTGTAAACAAACAAACAGAACACGAGAGCCAATTGCCATCAAAACAAACGAGAGCCATTGTACGAAGGTATCACGTGACTCAGAGCTACTGTATATATATAAAACTGCAAATATTACAGACCTCTAGTTAATACTGCTGCTGATAGATCAAGTGGCAGTGATAGAATATATTGCATTTGGTTTAATGGGGGTAACAATTGAGCAATATCGTGCCTGAATTGGTGCACATTTTAATACTGTAATTATAGTGTGAGAAGCAATGATCTATATTTTTGGCATCAGATGTTCTTTTCTCAATCATATAAATATGTTGATGTGAGCCCCTGTATATACCCCCCACCCCATGTATAAACCCATCAACAAACGCTTACGAACTTATATAAGCCCAGGGCTTATAATCGGAGGTTACGGTATTTGGTTTGTTTACAATATTTGGTATAAGTGAGATATTAATTTTAAAACATTGCATTCACTGTTTTATTTGGCCAAACAAACTATTAAAATTACATGTCAGTAGTTAAACCTACTTGTTATTAGAATGGGTAATAACCCACAAGTACCCCTTTGTATCCCTATGAACCAAGCATAGTGTGTGCGAGAGAGAGCCTATGGCTAGTAGGCTGGCCAAATATATAACTTTTTATTGGTAGAGTATTGCAAAGTTATTTCATTACAACTACTCAAATACCTCCTACAACCCATCACTATGTTAGTACTATATTCAGAACAATTAACAAATTTGGTTGTGAATTACCTGCAAAGCATTGCAGTTGAAATTTGGTTGTGGATTACCTGCAAAGCATTGCAGCTGAAATTTGGTTGTGGATTACCTGCAAAGCATTGCAGCTGAAATTTGGTTGTGGATTACCTGCAAAGCATTGCAGCTGCCACATGATGCTGCCACATGATTCGTCGTCAAAATGCTGACGCCATGGTCCTACCCAGTGCACTTATGGAGGTCCGCCATTTTGAATGTTATCAGGGGGTGAATGCCTCTTAGGCTGCATCCAGACTGGGTGCCCGGCACTTGTGCCTGTCACTTGTTTTGGTGCCTAGTTTGAACATGATGCTTCCAAATGAAATTGGGCACTGTGCCCAAGAAAGGGCACTACCTTTAGAGGTAGTACTCAACAACGGCACTGTGCTCAACATGTTTTGTGAACCATTTTGAACATTGGGCATCCGTGCCGGGCACTCAGTCTGAACGAGCCCTTAGCTCACTGGCTAGTACTGATGTTGAGACGCGATTGGTAACCAGGCCTTCATGTCAAACATAAGGTAATCAAGGCGCCAACTCTTTCGCAAGTTTGCAATGCGAATACACGTACGGCAGCAATTTCACTAACTTTTTGTTATACTAGTATTAAATGTTGCCAATGTTTGTCTGAGTCTTGGCGGGGGGTCGAATTTTCGTGACGTCAATTGCGGACAACGCTATTAATTATTCCGACTAATGTCCGACTAGTTACGAAGTCGGGTCCGAAGATTAAATAGATCTTTTCATAAATAAAGACGCCATTTGGAATCGTAATGCATTCTGGTATAGTTAAAAAGTAAAAATGGCCGGAAAAAGTTGAGAAATTCTGTTTCTTATTTGATGGAAAGACCTTGGCCATTTTTTTTTCGGAATTCTGACCGAAATGGAAATCTCTCCAAAATTTCCGGTAAGATCAGACAAACCCCAAAATTTTATATTTCATTCAAACATTTGATCGGTCTTACTGGTCTGAATAATGAAACGCGCCCTGTGTTAATTCGTGAACTCGCATTTTAAAGAACGTGCATCCCCATTTGGGAATTCGATTCGACAAACCCAAAAATAAACGGTGCAATATTTTTTTATGTGCGATATTCAATATTACATTATTACACATTACTATAAATTGGTATAACGCGTCCATTTACGCACGTACAAATTTCACAATCTGTCAACAAGATGTGTTCACAACAGCAGGCTTAATTGTAGCAAGCTTGTCAGTAGGTTGTAGCAATGCTGTTATTTTGTCAAGTTGCTAGAAGGTTGTCACTCACAACTTGTTAATAATTGTTCAATTGCAAGACGATAACAAGTTGTTGCAACAACTTGTAACAAGTCTGTTGAGCTCAACAACCTTATAGCAAGCTGGGAAAAAGCAGTGCGAACACATCCTGATGACAAGTTGTTGGAACAGCATTTGCCTAAAGTCTGCCGCAGTTTGTCACAACTTGTGCGTTTTTACATGTATAATCTACAATTTTAAGAATATAGTCATATGTTTTATTTACACTTATTAACTCGTATATATTTTCTTATTCGTCATAGACTCACAGTCAAACCAAGCTGTGTAAATGAATAACGCAGGTCAGATAGTTCGTCTCGAAATGACCCGTGTGTTGCTACAGTTACTTATGAAAATTAAAATGAATCTTTAGCCTCTTTGCCTAAACTGACGTATCATGATCATCTCAGCCACATAAAATCTTCATTTTCTAAATAAAATCATTCAAAGTAACCCAGGGCATTTTTTAAAGAAATTACAACTAACTGGGGCAAAGTCTCAATGAGGGCCTTTTCCACATAGTAATCATGCTTCCCTATTGGGACAAGCAAAAGGCCTACTGGGGTAAATGCCCCAGTAGTTATATAGTTAAAAAATGCCCTGAAGTAACCAAAACGACTATATATTAAACCAACCTCGTTCCCAGGGCTTCGAAAGCCCTGGGAACGAGGTTGATATTAAACATCTATGATACATGGATTATTACATATAAGGACTATTTAAGCGAGAAGTAGAGAAACTTGTACAGAGCTGAGTAAGGTTTCTCCGCAGTCGCGTCGTATTCCTTATTCTTTGCATTCTGATATTTTCCATCGATACCCATCTTGTCTCGAAGCCAACAGCAACAAAAACAACAACAGCAGTCGTCTAGAAAATACCCATAAACGTTCACTACTACAAGCCTAATGAAATGCAAGATAATTATAACAATGAAATTGGGTCTGGAGGCATGCCCCCTCAGAAAATTTTGATATATTTCTGTGAAACGCATGTCTATGTAGGCATATATGTACTAAAATCCTGTAATATCGGCGCATATCACCCCAGTTCTTATCGAATTGCATTGGTTACCTGTCCAATACCGTATTCAATTCAAGATTATACTTCTTGTCTACAAAGCTGTTAATGATCTTGCTCCATCGTATCTGAAGGAACTTATGCTGTGTCGTACTTCGCAGCGTACTCTTCGATCAAATGGAAATGAATTGCTCCAGATTCCTTATTCTAGACTAAAGACATACGGAGACAGATCGTTCTGTGTTGCTGGACCAAGATTGTGGAATGATTTACCTGTTCATCTTCGGATGTGTGAATCATTAACCATTTTTAAGAAGTTTCTTAAAACATATCTTTTTAACTTGTTTTTAAATAGTGTATGATGTATTCTATAGTTTTAACATTCTTAACACTAGTTTTTAAGATTGGATTTTGTATTACTGTAAAGCGCCTAGAACAGTCTTGGTTTGTGCGCTATATAAATGTTTATTATTATTATTATTATTATTATTGATATGCTCATGAGCATGCTTAAATTAGCCATTTCCCAATCGAGCAGAGGACTGGGTCCAGTCGCTTGTTTGGAGGAACAAAAAATAAACAATATGCCGAATATGGCATCTAGGAAGTTTTCCTACGTTCCTAAAGTTATTTGTGCAGCCTGAAACGCAACAATTATGACAAGGCATCTTTTAATATATATTTAGCTCGCTCACTACAACTTGTTGCCCCTCCAAACGTTTCTCCAAACATCAACTAGACCAACTAGTCCTCTGCTCGATTGGGAAATGGTTAATTATTCAGTTCGTGTATTTAAGGTCGGTCCCCGAGCAAAGCGGAAAAGTCAACTGAATACGAGCGCGAAATGTTGCTGGGAATCGTTAAAAAATTCATTAACTTTTTAGCACGCTCATATACATAGCTACGTCAATGAACGGAAGTCAAGAAGCAAAGCACGTCACGTGACACGAGAAGATTTAGAAATATTGTTTTTCGCCCATCCCCTGAAGTGCGATAGGAACATGCGCGTAGGATTATAATGTCGCGTAATGCTAACGCGTCCCACAAGCGTTGCACGTAAACTAACATTACGCGTTGCACCAACATATGGTTGCGCCTGTTTTCGACAATTAAACTTTAGAGCAATTTTGTAATTCTTTCAAACCTGAAGAGATACTGAAGAAATATCTCTTAAGAACCTCTTATCTTTCAACCTTGTGATACAATGATAGTATGGTCAGCTGAGCATGCAACTGCTAGTATTTATTATAGTGCTAGCTTCAGTAGCTTGTACCAATTCCCCAGACCAAGCACGGTATCACGGTCTCTGTGAATATAGAAAAGCAAATCCTTTGTTTTCGCAAGCCTCGTGCTTGGTTTTCTCGCAATAAAGTCTCTAAAATGTGATCAGTTTTCGTAACTTACCGAGTCCGTTTTCTCCCTCCAGTAATTCCCCGTGTTTTGGGATCAGAGACGACATAGAATTGTCAAACTCCACACTGATCGTAGGCAGATTCAGCTCTCCTGGTTCTTTTATTAAAGATTTCGATGCGCTTTGCACACGAGCCATGTAACTTGGCTGTTCTCGGGCTACTTTTTCTGGCTCGTCGTTCATCAGCTGTTCAGCTAGACAGACAGTAGAAGAAATTATCAATTAAACTTTCATCTAGACAACAGAGCCGCATAAACGCACAGTAATTTCTGGTCTAATTTTTAAAACACTTAAAGGAAGTCTTCTTATTTACGTGATTTCTTTTCAATTTGTGGCACAGATCTAGAGTACAACCTAAGCCAAAGAAAAAGGTCACTTCGCGGGAACAAATGAAAACGGGCTTCAACGTTTTAATACACGATTGGTTTCAATTTCAGCTGACAATCGATCTTCAGCTAAATGTTACACAAAAGCTTATATATAAAATATATATTACCTTTTCATCATAAATTATGCAAGACAAAGGGTCAAGAAAAACTGATAACGTTATATGTTCCAGCTCCTAATTGATGTAAATGTTATTTTTGAAATAATTTGACAATAATCCCGCTTCGACACGGCAAAACACTTCCAATCAGTTTTGTTACATGCCAAGGAAATACGACTGAATTTTTGGTGATCTTATTTGTCTTTCCGACTTCCCCATTGTCATAATTCCACATTGTATATTATATAGGAATTGATTCACGTGGAAAATTCTTTTCAAGAACATACAGTTCACTTGGAGACGTGTACTAGGGAAACATAATTGTTTTCAAATGTCTATTGAGTAATGTAAATACTGAACTATAAACTAACGCTGAAATGAGCAACTTCCTGGAAAATATACTAAAGAATTTCGATTTTAGACGTTTCGACTGCGAAGAGGTGAACGACACATTAATTAACTGACTACTGTGCATGCCAGGAATACTTTCAACACTCAACAGTAATACAATTTTACCTTCTTCAATGGCCGACTGTAGCTTGGTACATCTATCCTTCACTTCGTGATACGGCGAATTCACAAGAAACAGTTTGCTCGTCACATCAAGATGGCGTGTTAATTCTTGCTCGCGTTTTGCCAAAGCTTCTCTTAGGGCATCAAAATGAGCCTTGATTTCAAGCTTACAAATCTGAACTGTGGACAGGAATGCTTCCTTTTCCTCCTCGAAGCTTTTCAGGACGTCTTCATGGTAGGAAGCGATCTTCTCCCTGCCTTTGTCGATGCATTTTCGTAGCCGACTTTTGTGACGTGTGTCGACGACGTTGCCCAGCAAGTCGTAACGATTTGTCGGGAAATCTTCTTTGACGCAAAGAAGACATACGATGGTCTGTTGAGTGAGGTCGTAAAACTCCAAAGAGTGGCCGTGCTTTTTGCAAAGTTCGGGGATTTTGTTCACCGGTTGATGTGCTTCTTTGCGCTTGTTCCCGTCATGTTCGCGGGAAAAACAATCGGCGCAGTAGATAGCCGAGCATTGAGGACAGTATAGTGTAGCTACGGACCCGCTGCAGTACTCCAGACAAACAGAATGATTCGGCGTTGCCATAATATTAGGTTATATTATACAGTACTCCATTATAAACAGAAACTGCTAGACTGAGGTAGTTGGTATGATGTGTAGTGCTGCAAAAATACAGCGCGTCCGATTTCAACAGGTGGTTCGGCGATGCTATATGTTTGTGCATCGTGATTTGCCCGCCAAACAGGTTGTTTTGCTTTCGCAAAAGTCAACAATCTCTGCCGAAATCGTGAATCACTGCTACAATGCAGTAATAATGCTCTGGTTGAAGGAGGATACTAGTTCATGAGAGCTTGCAATCGTGAGTTTGTATTAGAGTTTTTCCCTAGAGGCTATTCATATAGAGTCCGTTAACCGAGACGACTCGTTTAATAAAGCTCCTATCCGACGGCTTTGATAAACATCCAAAATGACATTTCAAGTTGAATTAGCTTTGTTTGATTCCAGTAACAGTAAAAAGTTCATTCAAACACGATCTTTTATTATCAGGAAAAAATTCTCGCGACAACAACAACAACAACAACGACAACGACAACGACAACGACAACGACAACGACAACGACAACGACAACGACAACAACAACAACAACAACAACGACGACAACGACAACGACAACGACAACGACAACGGCAACGGCAACAGCAACAACGACGACAACAACGACAACAACAACAACAACAACAATCAACCAATTTATTTAACCCTTTCAAGAAATAGATGCAATTCATGTTACACAGATGTGAATATTGCTAGGGAGACTGGTCGCAAGTTCACTAGAAATAATCTTTTCGATTATAAATGGCTAGAGAAAAAAAAATCCTAAATGGGCCGAAACCGAAAGGGCCTTCGCGCGAAACGTCGAAGTCTCTTTAACATCTTTTTGTTATCTAATTTCGTCTATTTACATAGTTTGAACAATAAACCCAGTCAAACGCATTGCAGTTTTTAAAGTTTTAATTTAAGATTCACATGGACATATATACCATACATAGACACTGTTCATGTATAAATTACATGCATATATAACTAAAGGTAGTACTAAAGTAAGTATTAAAAATCAAAATTACGTATATAAAAGAATTAGCCAATATGTTAGCCAAAATAGTCAAAGCCTTATGCCGTTAAAATCGGTGCCCCAGTTTTCCTGGTATGTATACCAAGCTGTGTCCGTTTATTTGCAGCAAGCATTGATATACAGTTCACCAGTCCAATGACCATACTGCCCACAGCGACCGTGACATTGTATCTTACTATCCCCAAATGTCGCCTGCTTCATGTAGTATGCACTTCCCGCATACAGACTGATAGCCTTCATGTAACCGCTACAGAGCGAAAAGCCTGCTGGGCAATTACCGCTGGCCAAGATGCAATAACTTCCAGAAGGCCACTGATCTATATAGCGAAAGAAACTATTAGCTCTAACCATAGTTAATAGAAATGATGTTTTATTGATGCTCAGTTTAATGATGAATTATTTCTGTACGTATATAGTTATATTAGCCTCGTACACTAAAGTGCTTGCTTATTTGAATTTTTGATACGTTTCTTAAGCGACAAACGAACTTAAAAAGTATGTTTAGTGCTTCAGTTATCTGTAAAATTATGCTAAAATGAAGAGATTTTAGATGGTACGCCAAGAGAATAGGATAAGTGTGTTTGTTTAATAGTATTGGGAAGTAGCGTTCTTAACTTGTCATCTGACTGATGTTAATGGATGTTTATCATGTTCTAATAAAATGACAAGCACTGATTTTCTCTTCGCAGGCAAAGTGTAAGAAAGGAGGCCAAAAAGCCAACCGTCCTTAATGAAGCAACATATTAAAGAGGACTAGGGGAAAGCGATCTTCAATGCACGTTTTTGTATGGGGGGTCCACCTTGTATACTCTCGATTTGGTCAGCGAGGAATTATGGGAAAGAAAAGTGCCATATATACAGTCCATATACAGGTACCAGACCGTTTGATGATCCTTAGATCATATTTTGAACGGTCTTGGCTTATATATTCTTAGACTTAGTAAATTCTATAAATTTTTGCCCATTTCAGCCTTAATCATTCTTATAAACGAGATCAGTTATGTCTTAATAGTTTACTTAAGCAAGCGACATTTTTAGCATTTCGATACTAAATTATTGTTGTTTCGTCCTAAATATCTGGTGACTGGTGGCAAAATGCGTATTTCTTCAATCAAATCTGCGTGTAAACACAGGCGCTATTTGCGCATTTGCTCGTTCTTTCAGTATTGCTTGGTTTTAAAGAATTCTCGCTCAGCTGGAAGTATACAATTAGCACACCATAAAGCCAAAACCAAAGAAACTAATTTTGGCGGTATTTTGCATCATAGCGCTCGTGTAAGGAAGGAAAAACTTCAAAAATCTTATGTTTTGTCATATGTGTCGAAGATTACCACAAACTGACACAAACACAGTTTTTAATCCAGTCCTCCTCTCTGCAATCTGACGTCCGCGTGTTGACAAAAACATCGTTTGCTAACTGAGCCCGCTAATGTCTCGAGCATTACGTCATTCCATGCAGACAATTACGTCCAAGCCGAATTGAATTTGATACATGCATATATCCATAACCACCTGACACATGTGCTGACACAGTTGTCTGCAAAGAGTTCAAGTCTTTCTCCAGTTTGGCGATCTTCTTTGCTTGGTCTGCTACTTTTGAGATACATTCCGAAGCAGTATTTGAACCCGAGGATCCTTTACTGCACGAGAATTTACTCACGATATTCGATTGTGCATGGACAAGATTTGTCAAGATTTGTACTTGTTTTTCCAGCGTTTGGATCTAGAAAATGATGACAAATTGGAAAGTGTGAAACCTTTGTGTTTAGGTGTTTAGGTGTTTAGTGTTTAGGTTTAAAACTGGACGAGAGTTTGACATGGGAGCATCATGTTTCTACTATAATCTCCAAAGTCTCCAAGGTGATTGGAGTTCTACGAAGACTAAAACCATTGCCGGCTCCCACAGTCAACTAGCACTCTTGTCATGATCTATAACTCTTTAGCACAGCCATACTTTGATTATTGTAGTATAGTCTGGGATAGCCTAGGTAAGGGTCTTGGACAAACGTTACAGCGATTACAGAATAGGGCTGCAAGAATTATTACTGAATCTGATTATAACATCCGGTCATCAGATATTTTTACATCATTGCATTGGACCAACCTTGAAACCAGACGTACCCAACAGTTCAAAACTTTTATGTACAAAACTGTTAATAATATGGTTCCTAGTTACTTGTCTGGAAAATTTACTTCCACGTCAATAATACACGAACATAGTTTGCGTGGATCTAATCATAAACTTTTTGTACCAAGACCCTTAACGGAATCCTTGAAGAAAAGTTTTTCCTATAGAGGAGCTACCCTATGGCACAGAATAAGGCACACAGAAGGGCCCCCTGGCCGCCATCTTCCTAGCCAGTCGATTTCATTTTCTGGCCAATAAACGCGCTGTATTGGCTGAAGGCCCCGCCTTCTGGCCAGTCAACTGCATATTTTTGCATAGAAAAATGGCGACACGTTGCACCGCTGAGTGGCCCTTCTGGTACTGATCTTTATTCTGTGCCTATGGAATG